ATGTATGACAAGACAAAAGATTCTATTATTCAAAAATATTTTCCTTTTCTGCGTATCTAAATGAAGAAGCGGGTAAAAATTAGCGTTATGCCAAAGTAACTTTTTCACACGGACGAAGTCGCGGGCAAAAGCTAATGTTTCTTTTTTTTTTATTGCTTAGATGGGTGGACGAGCTCACAGCCCACCTGGTGTTAAGTGGTTACTGGAGCCCATAGACATCCACAACGTAAATGCGCCACCCACCTTGAGATATAAGTTCTAAGGTCTCAAGTATAGTTACAACGGCTGCCCCACCCTTCAAACCGAAACGCATTACTGCTTCACGGCAGAAATAGGCGGGGTGGTGGTNAGATGGGTGGACGAGCTCACAGCCCACCTGGTGTTAAGTGGTTACTGGAGCCCATAGACATCCACAACGTAAATGCGCCACCCACCTTGAGATATAAGTTCTAAGGTCTCAAGTATAGTTACAACGGCTGCCCCACCCTTCAAACCGAAACGCATTACTGCTTCACGGCAGAAATAGGCGGGGTGGTGGTACCCACCCGCTAGAACTCACAAGAGGTCCTACCACCAGTAAAAATATATATAAAATGCCAAGGGCGCAGGCGAAACTGCGAGTGATGAGGTAGTAAGAATATTAAACTGGATAGCATAAAAATGTGATTGTTTTTTTATGACCTTATTCTATTTGATTTAATAACATCACTGTAAACCTAATTTGGTACCATTGATAAATGCAAGATGATATTTTTCTTACTATTATTATTATTATTATATTTACTATATTTACTATTATATTTAATACTATAGAACATGAACGGATTTAAATACCGCTTTCTATGCTAAGTCCATTGTGAATGCACCTTTAATGGAGACACGATTCTGTTTCTTACTAATGTTATCTTGTTGTTTAGGAATTTTCAGCCCTTTACGATAAACGCTCGGTAGCATTACGATCGCAAAGCGAATCTACAACGTGAATTATAGGTCATTGAACTGTTTATCTGATTTTCCAAGTTCCGAACAACAACATTCGGACCGTCGGTCTGACGAGCAATTTCACCTGCTCGGTGGAAGATCTTCTCTTTGTCGTATACTTACAAGTATAAATGGTAGTAGGCCTGGTGGTAGGACCTCTTGTGAGTCCGCACGGGTAGGTACCGCCGCCCCGCCTATTTCTGCCGTGAAGCAGTAATGCGTTTCAGCTTGAAGGGTGGGGCAGCCGTTGTAACTATACTGAAAAAGAGAGCTGAGAGGAATTCTGTGCGACCGGCAGATTAGCTATAGCATCAGTGCATTTCGAATTCTGACCACACAGGATACAGTCACCGTCGACGCCCTAGACACGTTCTTACGGATCCATCAGATCCGATAATCCTTGCATTAGACGCCTTTAGCTTTAACACTACGCTTAGGGACCCTGGTAACCATATCGTCGAACTCGGCAAATAGTTCGACGTGCAACCTAACCTAAACATCAGCCCGCTGAGTTTCTTGCCGGATCTTCTTAGCGGATTGGGATTCCGATCCGGTAGTCAATTCATTGGCGAAGCAGTTACTCTTGAGATGTTAGGTCTCTTATGGAGGCGCTCGGGCAGCTGTTAGTAAATCCCACCCCTCCTGGCTGACCTCACAGGCTCGCTCACCTGTCCTGGTGAAACTGGAAAGCCTCCGGGCCACCAGTAATCCCTCAATTATAACAAAAGGTTATTATATTAGTACAGATCCACCTATTACCCGCGTCTTCACCTGCGTGGTTAAGGAATATCGTCAGTGTCATTTTCCGTGGGTATGAGATGTTTTTTCGAGATTAAAAGTAGCATAAGTCAATCACATGGCCTAAAACTATCATTTTAAAAAAATCATGTCTAGCCGTTTGTTCTTTTCGACGTGAAAAGAAGGACAAACACACATTTACAATAATAAAAATTTGTAATTGATCTAAGAACGGATATTGTTATATGTAGATTACCTACACATTGGTTACACACAGATTACAGTTTAGAAAGAGCTTTAATGAAGTGTTCCTGTTTAAAAAAAATACTTTCAGCTTCTGCCTTAAATCGTATCACGGCTTAAATATTGTGGTCCCGAATCCACATGAGGCCCGTATCGATATCCGTAATTTCACATTTTTGATTCGTTGCCAGTTTAAAAGTAGTGAGTCATGATTGTGAATCAATAAAAATAGGGTGATATCGTACTCTTTATCAATGATAGTACCTCACTACTGTTTACATGTTTCAACGGTGGGGGGTGCGCGTTCAAGCGAAACGTAAAAATTAAGCTACCCTGTCGGAAAAAAAAGGGAATTTTTAAGCACTTCAGCAACTTTTGTTTCCGAAAGCACACGTATGGGAACAGGTACGGAACAACATTTTTATTCACTAATAGCTAATAGGTTGCTATAATTTGATATAAGGCGTTGAAAATTAAAGTTAAAATTTCACTAATTGCTCATGTCTAGTTAAAATGACGTACTTACTTAATTATCTGCAAATCAATAAATTTAATTCGACATGACAAAGGAGCTATCTATTTATTTATTTTTTTGTAATTTAGCGTGTAACGTTTTGTAATTTTACACATTAAAACATTATTTTGCGCTTTATTAGTTTCTTGAAAGGGAGATAGCCGTCGTTCCAATACCTACTTTGACTCCCCGTGTCAAAGTATGAACTTGAATGCGGTATCATTCACGCTGAATGATATCTAAAGGATTTGTTAAAAATTGGTTAGAATAAAAAGCTTTACAATGTATTTGTCGAAAAAAATTAATTTCTTTTTTGCGAATATACTTTCTTGCATCGTGTTTAAGCAAAGTTTACATTGATTGCGTTGCTAGGATACCATTGTAATATCAATTCTATCTTTCTATCTCAGTAGAGGTGCATTTCGTGTGACACTGATTCGTAATGATTGATAGGTAAGTTAGTTCTAGATACATAGGTCTAAAATAATTCGAAAATAAATAAAATCAAATAATTTGCACATAATTTTCTGAACATAGTCCAAGTTATTTTCGTTATAATTTAGTTTTGAGGTTGTTGACCCGCGACCATGACCTAGACCGCTTTGAAATAACTCGATGCTTCAGTTAAATTTTGAATTTCATTTGATTAAGATTTTTTGTTTATCTTTTTACTTTTATAATAATGTTTTTGACGACTCGTAACTGGTTTACACATAAGCGTTATTTATTTGTATAGGCCATTTATAATCCGTCGCTATGACTATTTTCGATTAAATATTTACAGCCCAATTTTGTAAGAATTAATATTGAAAACGCAAGCATTGAATGCATCTATTTAAACTACTTTGTACCTAAGTGTTTTGAATGAATGTAACATAATAGTAACTATATTGTGTTAAAGTTGTGATCTTCTTAATCTCGAAAGCATTAATCAATAATTAGGTATTAATAAAAATATAGCTATAATCCTCTTTTCGGTGTTTTGGTGTTGAGGTTTATTCTAAAATGTACTTATTGCAAAATACATACTTATTGCAGGTGATATGAGGCCTATAAAATTAAAGGCCTATAAGGCCTATAAAATTAAAGGCCTATAAGGCCTATAAAAATGTCTGTCAAATATTCAGGTAAACTACAAAAATCGGCCGTAAACACGTCATTACGGATCCTCCCGATCCATCGAAGTACTGCTCTTGCTAGGGCCAGTGTTAGCAACACTCCCGGTTTGAGAATGTGAAATAACTTCGTTCGTATAGCTACGATATTCTTTAATTTAAAACAGATTTATAAAGAATGAGAATATTACTAATAATCTGAATTTTAAATGATAAAACTTCGTTTATTAGTACTTAGTACAGAGTAAACTTAACTTTTTTGAACTGAATTTGTTAGAGATTTAGCTGCATTTATTATAACATGAAAACACTAAAGCATGTTCAACTAACTAAACAAGATAGAGCCATTGTTAATACATTTTACGACATTATGGCGTTTAGCTAAATATATTAAGTGTATAATCTATGTATATTAAGTGTATAATGTATGGTTTAGCTGCCTTTGATTTTATAGGCCTCATGTATTAATTAGATGCCTAGATTGACAGCTACAATTCCATTTTCATACAGCCTAGATTGAAATTAACCTCGTTTCTGGCGGTTTGCTTTATTTTCTTTGGCGGTTTTTTGGGTTAAGTCTACCGACCGAAGTTCCTACACGAATGTTGAACAATGCCATTATTCCATTCAAGCATTTTGTTTTTGTAAATTAATGCGTAATGCACTAAGTTAGAATTTGCGAGCTTCTTAATAGAGAATCTCTGTTTTTAAAACGTAAAAAATAGTAGATGTTCCAAGTGTTAATCTTGATAACGAAGACCTATTGTTCATCGCCAGATCACCTCAAAGGGTTGCGATTCCGATCGGGTGGCAGATGGACTTGCGAAGCAGCTGCCCTTTAATTGTTAAGCCTTCTTCGGCAGTTGTTGACAAATCCCGTTCTCCCAAAAAAGATAAAGCCCCTGTCGCGTTGCTTAGGATGGGGCTCGATCCACTAACAGTGCTTTTAGGTACCTCAAGCACCGGTCGTCGTTCTTGTCGAACCCTTCGCTTGCGACGAAGGGCTCGACGAATAAATTAAACCCACAGACACAGCCCACTGAGTTTCTCGCCGGATTTTCTCAGTGGGTCACGTTTCCGATCCGGTGGTAGATTCTGCTAAGCACGGCTCTTGCTAGGGTTCGTGTTACCGACGTCGTCAGTTTTGAGCCCCGTGAGCTCACCTATTAGTTAAAGTTAGGCTGAAATAGCCTCTCTAGGCTATATCAGCTTAGGTAGGAAAAAACAAAAAAAAATGTGTGGGATTTGCGCTCTTACAAAGTTTTTAATCACGAGTCCCTGGTCCAGCTGGAGAAGTCATTTCTGGTATTAGAATATAGCCTAAATTTATATACAATAATTAATAAACATTTAAAAAACCATCACAATTGTAACTTTTTTTGTTGTTTTAGTTGTCAACAAAAGAAGGCTTAACTACTCCGCGGAGTGCTCGCGCTCCCGTCGGAAGGCGGACTCCAAGTATTCTTCCCCATCAACGCTTAAAGAAGGAGGTATATATGATTTTACTTCAAAATGTCAAATAATGACGAAATAACTACATATGTATTAAATGTATGTAAATAATATATTCTAAGCTAAAGTGATTTACTTCAGAAAAATCTTGAAAGTCCGCCGGAAATGGATTCTCCAGCGGGCAGTGTTGGTAGTGACTTGAGACGTCAGAATGAAGAGCTTCGTGCACGTCTTGCTGGAGAGGCGGCAGATCATAAGCGTCGTCTCGACGCGTATCGTCGTGCTCAGCAAGGCCAAGCTGCATTAGTATCGAGACTGCAAGCTAAAGTAATTTCTTCTAACATATTTTAATCTAATATATTATTTCTGATTGGGCAACATAGAGCTGTATGGTCTTAGCACACATACTGAATACGACAGATGAATGAGATAAAAACTCTTTCATGACGTAAATGTCTGATCTGATCACTGGTAGACTGTGTACAGGATTTAGATTGCAAATTGGTTTATTCTCTTAATCTAAGATTTCATCCGGCTTAAACTTCTAATAACCACCACTTAGCCTCTGAAAGCGAGAAATGAAAGAATATCGTTGGACGTGGCTTCGTAAGTTCTTGATAATGAACTTCCAATAATTTCTCATAATTTAATGAGAGCTCAGTTTATTTTATTTTCATTTTTATTATGACATGTAGCTTCGGTCTTAATTATAAAAAAATTGTCTGTATGGGTAATGTTTCCTTTGCACAATAGAAGAATCAAAATTAAACAAACAAAAAATCAAAATAAACAAATCTAAAATGTTTTTAAAAGTAAAAAAAAAGTTTTCACTTTGCAATAAATTCTATTTACGCATTTCGTTTGGTGCGTTAGGTTTTGCAGTACAAACAACGATGTGCGGAGCTCGAAAGTCACATGCTGGAGACACCCCGAAGCGAGGGTTATCGCACCAGCACGGCGCTGCAGCCGGCCGCTCTTCCCGCACCGTCGCCGCCTTCCACCGATTCGCGCAGGGATGAACGCATTAACGACTTGGAGACTGCTCTGCGTCGACTGGACGAGGAGAAACGCAAGTGCGTATTCAGGAGTAGCTGTAGTACTAAAATACTAGTGAAAACCTGTGCTTTTGTACCTAGTGCTTAGTGTTTGTCAGAAGTAAATTAAGAACTAGGGATATTAATTAAAGTGCTAAATTAAATTTATTATCACATAAATCAAGTACAGAATGGAAAAACAGGGTGTGCTGTACCGACCCCATATGGTGGGAAGAGTTTTATGCAAGTTATAAGTTTCTGTAAATCCCTCTTTATTACTTAGATGAGTGGACAGACGAGTTCATACCAGAATTGCTAGAAAACTTCTTCAATATTGACAAACCAATTACCACTTCGTTGCTCTGGTCATTAGTAAACTTAACAGTACTCTGAGGTTCGTGTTAAATTGCTGGTTAAAGCAGTATTGTGGTAAAAATATTTTTTATTTTTTCGAGTGTCTTATTCTGTTACATGAAAAAAATAGAAGGTTAGGGCTAATGTGTGTGTAAAAAATTTGATACAGTTTATAGTAACCTGAATAGATCTGATGGGGCTGAGAGCTTTGCCAGATGACAGATACTATATTTGGTAACTGAGACGAAAAAGCAGTTGGTTTTTATTATCCTTGTTTGTAACATATCAGTAAAATTCAGTGTGTAAGTATTTCAATTGTTTCTAGGTGTGAGAAGTTGGTAGCCCAGAATAATTTACTCCGAGACCAACTGGAGGAGTCTCATCAGCTAAATGAAGCTCTGACAGGTGACTTGCAGAAACTGACCAATGATTGGGAAGCTCTGAGAGACGAGATGGCAGTCAAGGAGGATGAATGGAAAGATGAAGAACAGGTATTACAATTTACACTACAATTGAGGTATTACAATAAAGGATTTAAATGATATAAAAAACCCATGACACGTGAGGTCTAAGTTTCACGTAGACTATAGTGGCTCTTACACACTTTAAAGCAGCCTTACCGTTCTGAAGTATAAATAGGCAGGGTGGTGGTATCTACCCATGAAGGCAAGTCATCCTATGAAGCTGCTAAAAAAAAGTTTGAATAAAAAGTAAAAGAGACCTGTGTTTTACAACATCATCCAAGATAATCTTGATACTTGAACGAAAAACTAATCAAATATATGACCTGAGCACCGATGTTCTAATTTCCGTTGTAGGCTTCGAGCCAGTTTTCAATCACTTAGAGTCCGTTTTGAAGATGAGAGATGACCCTAATCTGAGGGCATCGTTGTGGCGTGCTTATTAAATAATTAATCAATGTTATATTTGCAGGCTTTCAATGACTACTATTCCAGTGAGCATAACCGTCTGCTAAGTCTGTGGCGCGAGGTGGTGTCTGTGAAGCGTTTCTTCTCCGAGCTGCAGTCTAACACGGAACGAGATTTGTATCGAGTCAAGAACGACTTTGACTCATCTGTTAGGGAGCTTGTTGGATCATTGAGTGGATATGCTATCAATGCATTTGCAGCTCAAGGAAGTAAGGTAGGAAATGTAGTGTAATAGTTACCATTAAAAATTTTAGCCTGCTAAAGAATATACCTCATTTTGCATCATACATTACTTATTTATAGCACCATCTTACCCATTTTTATTAGTAAAGAGCTACACGTACAGTTACTAGGAAAGATTGACTGTTAAACAACAAACTAACAGGTAATTGAGTTTGTTTGTCTTTGTTTCACGTTGAAGCGAAGCAATGGATGGCCATTTTTTTTCAAGTGATATATTTAGGTCGGAATACTCCAACAGGAAATGAAGTAATTTTATCATAACAATTGATTTTGTCCTTCTTTCATGTGAAATGGAAGCAAGGCTTGAGTTGAATGGACTTGGATAAAATGTAATCTTGGGAATTATTCCCTTTTATTATTTCCTTTTACGCTGGGGAACCGACGGGTGGAAACTAGTACCATATAAAAATGTTCATTGATGTTATTCACATAGCATGTTCAGTCTTTTATATGTAATTGATTGTTGTGTTCTGATCTTGAAGAGCGAACCTCAAGCTTCAGTCGTGAGTTCGACCGCGCCAGATGTTGGCACAGTGGAAACGTTACGAGTGGAGCTCCGGGAGGTGGCCGCGCAGCGTGAGCACGCCGTGGCTGAGCTGCGGGAGCGAGATGCCCGGATACAACGTTTGCTTTCTGAACTGCAAGGATTGGTACGCCCAGAATTGTATCTGTTTTTAATAGCCATCCGGCTATGGAATGAGCTCCCCTCCATGGTGTTTCCCGAGCGCTATGACATGTCTTTCTTCAAACGAGGCTTATGGAGAGTTTTAAATGGTAGGCCGCGACTTGGCCCTGCACCTGGCATTGCTGACGTCCATGAGCGATGGTAACCACTCACCATCAGGTGGGCTGTATGCTCGTCTGCCTATAAGGCAATAAAAAAAAACGCTTTTATTAGCTTCAGACTACGTATGTTAGTATGTTACGGAATAGTTGAACATGATTTTGACCCCCTTCAGAACATCGGATTAACTCGAAATTTAGTATACTTATTATGGACCGATGAAAATTCAATATTAAAAAAAAATTATAAAAAAATTGAAATTCAAGTAAAAAATGAAAAATAAATAACAGTTTAAAAAAAAACTAACGAAATACGCCTTTATAGAAAATCCAACTAAAAAATAGAAAATAAATTTTAATAAATTTGAATTAAAAATAGTGTAAAAAAAAATTATTTTATTATAAAAAAAGCGTGGGGTGCATGGTATTAGTAGTTATACATATTTTATGAACAGATATGAGTAGAAGGGTTATTTTGATAATATCCTGAAAAGCACCCCACGCTTTTTTTTACAATAAAATCATTTTTTCTTACACTATTTTTAATTCAAATTTATTAAGATTTATTTTCTATTTTTAGTGAGATTTTCTATAAAAACGTATTTTTTTTTTGTTTTTTAAACTATTATTTATTATTATCATAAGGCTATAAGGTAAATAGGGGTGGCGGATGTGAAATGGATTTTCGTTGGATACTTAGCAAGGCGAAATATGGAGTAGAATGGTGACAGAATAGTGGTTAAGATTAGGTCGTAAGGTATCGATCCGACCGTAAGGTGGTACGGTGTAACAATGACATAGTCAGGCGGAGCTGACGTGGATGAAAATGGTGGGAGAGGCATTGAAAGAGGAACTCTATGCTCTGGAGCAGGTATCCAAGGGCTGAAGATGAATGAATGAATCATAATATGGATATCATCATGCTGCATAGAGATTTGACATGAGTTCTACTAAGTGTTGACTCCTTGGGATATATCACCTATATAGGGATGGACTTTTCTTATTTTTGTGTTCCTAAACGTTTTAACTTAAATTTAGATTTTAAAATACCAAAAGGTAAAAATATCACATTTTAATTAATTTTTTTATTTAGTTACCGTGAATTCTAAATCTGAAATGCAATTAATGAACGGGAGCTTACATTGCCGTGCATGGTAGGGTACTATTATATAATTCTATTAAGATGAAAGATGCTGTCAGACAGCGCTACATCAGTACTTACCGCCCATGACCTGACTAAAATTATCCGTGACTATTAAGTCTACCATCGACCACCGTCTTGTAAACTCGTCTTTTTTACTTTCTGATTTGTATAATCCAAATAGTCTGCTGTGAAGAAGAAGTCTTAGAAGTCCGTATTTTTTTTTGTCCTTGTATGCAGACAAGCATACGGCCCACCTGATGGTAAGTGGTTACCGTCGCCCATGGACTTCAGCAATGTCGGGAGCAGAGCCAAGCCGCTGCCTACCGTTAAAATAACAGTAGTAACGGTCGCGTTTGCAGGAGGAGCGGTGCGAGAGCGCGGAGGCGGCGGCGGGCGAGGCGGCCGTGTGTCGCGGCGCGCTGGAGGAGGTGGCGCGCGCGCTCATACACGACTCCGAGCCAGACGCCAGCACCGCGCACCTGCACCTACCTGACCGGTCAGTGGGGGGACCGGGGGGACAAGGGGGGACCCGGGGGGGTCCAGTTGGGGGACGTGCAAGTTTTCAATAACAACTGTTCCCAGTTCACAGAAACCTAGCGCGTCCCAGGCGGCGGCGGCGACGGCCTTCGCGGAGAGCACCATATCGGCGGTGCAGGCCGCACTGCACAAGTATCAAATACAAATACACGAGTTGCAGGTTAAATTTCGTAATATTTTTTGTTGATTTATTCGTTAAACTTTAAAATTGAATGAATGAATGGATTGAATAAAAGACTGAAAGAAGATAAAGTGACCTCGAATTATATCATCAATTTTTGTTGTCCTTCCATATTTTGCGACTTAAGACCGTTTTTCTGATGATTGGGCATTGACGCTTGTAGCACATGGAAGTAAAAAAATCTGATATATTCAACACATTAAAAACTTTGTCATTTTATCATTCAAAATCTCTACGGCAGATCCTTTTAATCTAATGATATGTCGACAAAAAGGAATAAAATCAACTAATACTATCGAGAATGTTCCGGAAAATTGTAGAAGTAGTCGAAACAACTAAAAGCGTAGCATAGACAACATCAGGGCGGTTATGTTCGAAGCGAAACCAAAATGTGAATATCTATAGTGAAGTCTCTTAAGTGACGTAACAATTAAATTGAGTTTTATTAATAGTTAGCCCCTGAACCATTGACATTAGTATCATTACATTTTAATTGCAATAAATTTTGGATGTGGCGGTCTTACAGTACAAGTAAAAAAAAAACAACACACCAATGGTGATAAGACGACATGCGTTTTGTGCTACTACTGCGAAGCAGACACGTGTCCCCAGGTCCCAGTATGAAGGGTGGGGGGGCCGCCTTCTCCAGTACAATTCAGACTTTGACCTCATGTGTGACCTTTACCCATCCATTGAAACTAAATAATTGTATAGTAAGCTACAAAGGATTTTGTTTCGCGGTAAAGAGTTAAACTTCTTTCAAACGTGACCTGGGCATGCTTAGGAAGTTTATTGAGATTTATTTAATTTATTTACACATACTGTTATAGGTGAAGTTGCAAAACACGCGAGAGCAACTGTTGAGCAACAGGAAGCACTGCGAAACGGCCGACGCGACCATACACTCGCTGGAGACCAAAGTACACGACTTGCAAAGTGAGTGTTTGTTCGAAATGTCTTTTTTATTGCCGGGACCGGGGGATCCGCAGTATACATACTTATCCCCTTGAGAGTCGCTATCGACCACTGTCTCCCAAAGGCCGACCCCACTAGAGACGAAAATCTGGTCACCGGACCCCCGGGTACCGATACCTGGCTAAACAAAAAGGAACTATGAAAAAAATAAGACTGCCCCATCCTCCAACCTGGAACGCATTACTGCTTCGTGGCAGAAATAGGCAGGATGGTTTTCGGCGCGCATCGCGGTACCGTAAGTTTCGTGTAGTCGGTGTGGTGGAGCTCGATGGGGTTTAGTCGGTAGTCTGTTCTGCGGGGCAAGTGCTTCGCGCGCCCTTTTCAAGGCGTAGTCTCCTGTGAGAAATTGGGGGAGGTGGAGGATCTCGGTCCTTCTCTTCTCCCCTTCTTCCTCTCAGGAGGCGCCAGAATCCGACATAACCCGGTCCGTTACCCCCCTCGACTGGGTATCCGTAAATGGATTCCCCAACGTTAAAAAAAAAGGATGGTGGTACCTACCTATGTTGGCTCAATACAACTGACCACAAGTAAATCTTAAAAAAAATAAAATAGAAACGTTTCATAGATTACTATATTATTACCCTTTATATTAAAGTTAAAATCAATGTTCATGCATATATGCATTAAAAACGAGCCACAAAAAGTATTCTTTTTCTTGTATAATAAAAGGGGTCAGCTTAAAAATAAAAAATGCCTTTCGCAGACAAATTGGATCAATCTAACGCTGATCTCAGCCAAGCTTTGCAAGAGAAGGAGTCCCTGCAGAAGACCGTTGAGTCTCTGAGGATCGACAAGAATAATCTGGAGAGGAACAGAGTGGAAATTAACGCCATGGTAAATGTTATTTAGAAGTTATTGGCTAAACTGTGAAATAACGTGAATAAATAACGTTCAACCAATTCTTCTAATGAAATACGTATTCAACAAATGTTCACGATTGACTTCCACGGTGAAGGAATAACATCGTGTAATAAAAGTGAAACCCGCAAAATTATAATTTGCGTAATTACTGGTGGTAGGACCTCTTGTGAGTCCGTGCGGGTAGGTACCACCGCCCTGCCTATTTCCGCCGTGAAGCAGTAATGCGTTTCGGTTTGAAGGGTTGGGTAACCGTTGTAACTATACTGAGACATTAGAACTTATATCTCAAGGTGGGGGGCGCTTTACGTTGTAGATGTCTATGGGCTCCAGTAATCATTTAAGACCAGATGGGCTGTGAGCTCGTCCAACCATCTAAGCAATAAAAATAAAAAAATGAGAATATTAGAATTTATTATTAAGATCTAACTTGTGCTGTCAGGTGGAGTCTCTAACGTCGGACTACGAGAAACTTCAGAAGATCAATTCTCGTTTAGAGAAGACTATTGAGGGTCTCGAGGGAGAGAAGAGAGCTTTGAACTCGGAAGTTGATCGTTTGCACCGCGAGGCCTCGCACAGAGATTCGGTCCTCAGGTAAGAGTCAACGTGATAGGGTATATACAGGGTGGTCTAATGTCTGCAATGGTTCATCATCACTGTTTGAATGCACGAGGAGAGCGGCCATCGGAGAACAGTCGTGGTGTGCTGTGACGCTTGCCATCAGCCCCTGAAGTGATGACCACGACCATCCTGTCCAGAGTGTTACCTACAATGAAAATACAGGGTGTGTTTTGACGCGCCATGTCGCTTGTAACGGTAGATGATGGATATGCAACTTGACGTGGGTTGTAAAGGCAATAAAAAAAAAGGAAATAAAAATTCTTTTCGCTATGGGCATAAGAAGGTCTCGTGCATTCACGCAAGCAGAATGTTTTTTCCGCTATGCGTTCCTCAACCATTCATCTGATTGAGAGAACACGGATGATTATTAGTTGGGAGTCCTGGATTCCGGAGTATTCCGTCGCGGTACGAGTGATCGGGTATTCAGTAATGCTTAATAATACAACTGAAATATATTTCGGGGTCTCTGAACTAATGTTTTATATATATTGCCCTTGTAGGCAGACGGGCATACGGCCCACCTGATGGTGAGTGGTTACCGTCGCTCATGGACTTCAGCAATGCCAGAGGCAGAGTCAAGCCGCTACCTACCGTAAAGTGCTCTCCAGAAGCGTCGTTTGAAGAAGGATATGTTATAGCGCTTAGGAGAAACACCATGTAGAGGAGCTCATTCCAAAGCCGAATGGTACGTGGCAAAAATGATCTCTGGAAACGCACCGTGGATGACCGCAATGGCTCCAGGTAGTATGGATGAACTCTACTCCGGCGGCGGGCGGTGCATTTGAGACGAAAAAAAAACAAAATATAATACGTAAGTCTATTGATCGTGAAATTGCTGGTACCCATACCCAGGGCGGAAGAGGAACGTTCGGCTCGTCTCCGCGCGGAGCTGGTCTCGGTGCGGGAGGAACTCAACCAGGTCGCCCTGGCCAGGGACTTGCTGGACCAACAGAAGCTGGAAGCCGACGCCATACTGTCCCAGATGGAGAAACACCGGAGTGAGTAACACACCTAGATACCCAAGCCATAGACACAGGATGAACTTGCAATTGAACCTTTGTTATCGTATTTCACGAGTTCATTAATAGGTGGTAGGATCTCTTGTGAGTCCGCGCTGGTAAGTACCATCGCCCTGCCTATTTCTGCCGTGAAGCAGTAATGCGTTCGGTTTGAAGGTTGGGGCAGCCGTTGTAACTATACACGAGACCTTAGAACTTACATCTGAAGGTGGGTGGCGCATTTACGTCGTAGATGTCTATGGGCTCCAGTAACCACTTAACATCAGGTGGGCTGTGAGCTCGTCCACCCATCTAAGCCATAAAAAAATAAAAAGAATTCATAAGCGAGACACGAGGTCTGATACACCTCGTAACTATCCCCCTTGCGATGGCCTAAGAAAGTTTTCCACGTGAAGAGTCCTCGGTCACGCGGAGACCGTAAGTTCAATTTATTTTGGTATAGGAAAGAGACGAACATAAATCTAGAGCGTCCTATTAAAACAGATTGTATAGTAATCGGCAAACTTCTTGAGCAAATGACCTTGACTGCGCAGAACCGAATTTTAGATCACTTTGGTGGTGAGGGTGAGGCGCGACGGCAGGGGACATCGTATCGAGCGCGTTATTGGTAGATCAGTCGAACCTTGCGTCCCGCACCGCGCCCTCATTCCGCTTGCTCCCAAAAGTACGCTTGCGTACAGTGGAAAGTCTATCGTTATTAATCGTTAAGTTATTTGTTATAATTGCTTGTGGACTTTTTTGCCATTGCTATTTGTTGAGTGTTTGTTGATTTTTTATAAAACATACACTATGCCGTGACAAATTGGTGTAGTACTTAAAAGAAAGGGTAGAAAATTTGTGTACGACGTATATTGCTTCATTATAAAACAGGGGAAGAATGATATGGAAAAATTAAAACAGACTTCGGAAGCAACAAAAACATCAGTGAGTACTGTTAGGTGCATTATTAACGAAGCTAAAGGCTCTGGCTTGCTCGCCGTGTTTCGGACTCCGGGTAAGAAAAGATCAGGGAAGAAGAAAGTTACCGGAATGGATAGTTTCGTTCAATCTGTAATAAAAAGATGTAATCATAATAACTACATAACAAGCAGCGAAGCTCCGTACCGTAGAAAGGCTTCGAAAATTTTAAAGAAGATATAAATTTTAATGGCTCGGAATGAGGCTTACGACGAATTATAAAAGAGCTAGGCTTCAGATGGAAAAAAAGAACAGAAAATAATCGGAAGCTGGTAAATGAAAAAAGTAACATTCGATTACTACGAATCGAATATCTTCAAAAAATAATTAATTATAGACAAAAAAGAAGACCGAATCGACCGAGTTGTAAACTACGCCGATGAGCCCTATGTCGACTCATCACGATGACAGCGACTCGGGTGATGAAAACAGTGATGATGATGATGGTCAAGATTATGATAACGAAAAAAAATATACAAATACCAGCTTCGCTTCAACTGAACCAAGACCTGGCAACAGCTCTAATTTTGACTTAATAGAAGGAATATCTATTTTACCCCAAGATTAAATTATTACAATTATTAACCTATATGTTTTGTTGATGTTCTAATAAATAAATACATATGTTGATTTTAATAATTTTAATAGCATTATGACGCAGAGTAAGTAATGTTTTTGCACGTGAGTGTACCATGCGCAAACTTACCCCCACTACGTCAACAAATGTTCAAGAAGTTTGCCGGTTATTATATTAATCTATTTTCACTTATTGTACATAGACAGTGGGTTTGTGAATTTTGTGTCATTTAAATTCGAGTCTGGTATACTTTCCGTTGTACCTGTTTTTAATTTTTATTTACGTAAAATAAATTATCTATTTGCCTTCAATATAACGGGTGTAATCTTTTATTTGGAAGTGTTTTTATTTAATTCTTATTTCATTCAATATTTATCTCTCTTTCTAACACGCGTTTATTCAACTTAACCTATATAACAGAATCTCCCAAAGTAATTTTCACCAACTTCAAGAATTATGATTTACTTAGGAATTTGTACTACGTGAACCACAGTTACTGACCATATAATAATATTATTATTTTGGTCTAATGTTCAGACTAGAACATTAACGATAAACAAATATTATTTTAATTTCAGACAGACATGTTACAAAGTAGAATAATGTGATGTTAATACCTCAAATACAAAATAATTGTATTTAAGGTATGCTTTTTTTAATTGCTTACATAAGTGGCCGAGCTCACACCCTACCTGGTGTTAAGTGGTTACTGGAGCCCATAGACATCTACAACGTAAATGCACCACCCACCTTGAGATATGAGTTCTAAGGTCCCAGTATAGCTACAACGGCTGCCCCACCCTTCAAACCGAAACGCATTACTGCTCCACGGTAGAAGTTTTTTTAAATTAATAGTAATTTGAAAATATATATAATAATTAGTAATTTGAAATAGTTTTTAAGAGTCAAATAAAGAAACATTTCCTCTCACATTAATTGTATTTAAGTTATTGTTTTATGTATGTTCATTTATATGTATTTTTCATTTTATATTAGATATATTACGCATTTATTTGTGTCATAATGGTTGTGTATTTTTTTTAAATACCTTTTATATTGTGCACTTTTCCCCTCTTATACATCGTATTTCTCTCTGCTAATGATTTGCTGGAAGAAAACTCACGAATGAGTTAAGCTCGCCTTTGTACTTTTTAAATCTGTTTTTATTGTATTTTCTTTTTTGTGTACAATAAGAAGTATAAATAAAAAATTGAAAACTAATATTTTTAGGTGACCTCGAAATGGAATTGGAACGGACCATAATGGAGAGAACTGATCTGCAGGACCTCTCTGAGAAGATGCAAGCCGCCATCAGGAACTTGGAGAGTGACAAGAAGAAACTGCAGGAGGATGTTAAAAATGTTAGTGGTTTTTTTAATTTTATTGCTTTGATGGGTGGACGAGCTCACAGCCCACCTGGTGTTAAGTGGTTACTGAAGCCCATAGACATCTACGACGTAAATGCGCCACCCACCCTGAGATATAAGTTCTAAGGTCTCATTATAGTTACAACGGCTGCGCCACCCTTCAAACCGAAATGCATTACTGCTTCACGGCAGAAATAGGTGGGGTGGTGGTACCTACCCGTGCGGACTCACAAAAGGTCCTTCCACCAGTACATATTACAGAAATAATATATTACAGAATGAGTAGCTTCTGAAAAAAAAAAAAATTTATATTTCTCGCTAACAGTTGGAAGATGAGAGGTCTTCGCTGTCGAGTCAGTCGTCGGAGCAGCAGAGCGACCTGAACTCTCTGCGCAAGGAGCTGCTGGCCGCCGAGCAGAACCGGATGGAGCTGGAAGCCGACAAGTCGTCTCTGTACGAGAAGATCAAGTTCCTAGAGGGGGAGAGGGAGAGGGTCGAACTGGAGCTACGTCAAGTCGCTAGGTTCGTATCAAGTAGTGTTGGAATTGATCAGTTGGAATTGTAATGTGTTATTTGTTTTTACTGTCACCCATGGTGAATGGCCAGGGATCACATTTACAACCATTGTAGGACCTCTTGTGAGTTCGCGCAGGTAGGTACCACCACCCCGCCTATTTCTGCCGTGAAGCAGTAAAGCGTTTCGGTTTGAAAGGTGGGGCAGCCGTTGTAACTATACTGAGACCTTAGAACTTATATCTCAAGGTGGGTGGCGCATTTACGTTGTGGATGTCTATGGGCTCCTGTAACCACTTAACACTAGGTGGACTGTGAGCTCGTGCAGCCATTTAAGCAATAAAAAAAGACAAACTACAGCTTAATATTATTATGGTTAATGAATGAACTAAGAATATAAACGAAAGGGGAGTTGACAAGGGAAAGAAGAGATTTGAGATTAATGGGGCGAGGAATGTCAGGAGGAAGGAGATCATAGAGGGAAATGGCTTCGTTAAAACCGGACTTAGAAAAAGTGTAGATTTTAAAACGATTCAAAGTTCGTATCGTCGCAAATAGGTGGCGCTACATGTACTAATCAGAAGTGATTCGGCATGAAGAGTGAATGTGCTCATGCTCACGACCGCGCGCACGGCCGGGTACCGCCACGAGCTCGTTCTGTTGCAGGGAGCGCGGCGAGCTGAGCTCTCAGCTCACCTCGATGGTCCGCAAGAAGGACACCCTCAACGAAGAGATGATCCGTCTCCAGCAGCGCCTAGAGCAGGCCAACGAGACCATCGGCAGGATCAACAGGGCTCTCGAAGAACACGTCAAGGATGGAGAAGAGAAACAGGTGCGTGGAGCAGTATAGAGTATTCTGATTGAAAGGAATACTAGATAAAAAGAACAGTTGTGATGTTAATTTGGGGGTAAGGATGAAGGGAACATCTTCCATTGAGCGGGTTATATTGCTTGATCTGAATTTTTTAGTTTCCCTACCTATTCTAGCAAACTCGAGGGGTTATTCTAGATTCATGCTTACTCATGGTAGGACCTCTTGTAAGTCCGCACGGGTAGGTACCACCACCCTGCCTATTTCTGCCGTGAAGCAGTAATGCGTTTCGGCTTGAAGGGTAGGGCAGCTGTTGTAACTATACTTGAAACTTTAGAACTTATAACTCAAGGTGGGTGGCGCATTTACGTTGTAGATGTCTAAGGGCTCCATTTAACACCAGGTGGGCTGTGAGCTCGTCCACCCATCTTTGCAATAAATAAAAATTCTTCAAACTAGTTGGTTCGAATGGTATTGCTAGAAACTTTCATATATCCAAGCCTATCTTGAAAATGACGTAAGCGAGATTTAGGCTACTATTAAATATCTTGTGCTCTTTGTATGATTGAAGGATTACTGGTGGCCCGGAGGCCTTTCCAGTTTCACCAGGACAGGTGGGCGAGCAAAGGCTCAGCCAGGAGGGGGTCTTGTGCTCTATGGATGGCTATCACCACAGATGTACTTGCGCTTAGAACTCATCCTTAGAATAATTTAGACCCGTACTACATTCACAAGTTTTTCGTTTATATAACCGTACCGAACCCCACAGATGTTCATAGACAGCTTGGAGAAAGACAAGCATCATCTGCAAGAGCAGCTGGCCGGCGTGAGGTCCGAGAAGGACGCGCTTGAGGCCGTGCTGTTCGACACGGCCAACATGCTGGAAGACTCTGACAACAAACGCAACAAGCTGGAGAGAGAGTTGCAGGACACTCTTGTGCAGCAGGAAAATTATAAAGGTACATTCTTCACTACATAGTATAAAACAAAGTCGCTTTCTCTGTCCCTATATCCCTATGTATGCTTAAATCTTTAAAACTACGCAACGGATATTGATGCGGTTTTTTTTAATAGATAGAGTGATTGGAGAGGAAGGTTTATATGTATAACTAGCGACCCGCCCTCGCTTCGCTTCGGAAACATTAAATTTTATTATTAATAGCTGAGTCAACAAACAGCCCGAACAAACAGACAGCCAGACAGACAAAAATTGTAAAAAAAATTATTTTGGTTTATGTACCGTATATATATATTCATATGCATGTTATATTTCAATACTACAAACAGACACTCCAATTTTATTTATATGTATAGATAACATCCATTAAATAGTGGAGAAATCAATAATAAATTACAGTTTCCGAAGTGAAGCGAGGGCGGGTCGCTAGTTTATACTAAAATAATATTTAGTTTAAAAGTTAAAAAAATCTAAACACACTTAAATACCCACCCGGACTAACAATTAATTTTATCTTTTTATCGAGGAGTGAAAGGCTCTATTCTGTTTAAAATTTGGAACTATTAACATAACAAAAAAACGGTGCGCGTGCAATTAGGTTTTGACTTAATTGCCTTAGACGGGTCGGCCTGTTTCAGTTGTGTGTTGTTCTTTAACTCGTCAGGTCAGATCGCCCGTCTGACTAAAGAGCTGGAGAGCAGCGAGCGCAAGCTTCGGGAGACGAAGAATTCCATGCAGCAACAGTCCGGGAAGAAGGAGGCCGAGTACCAGCAGATCATCACCAACATCAACCGCACCACCGCCGAGAACATCACTAAACTCAAGGAGGAGAAGGTACGAGTGCCCCCCATTGCCTGTTTTTTTTTTATTGTTTAGATGGGTCGACGAACTCACAGCCCACCTGGTGTTAAGTGGTTTCTGGAGCCAATAGACATCTACAACGTAAATGCACCACCCACCCTGAGATATGAGTTCTAAGGTCTCAGTATAGTTACAACGGCTGCCCCACCCTTCAAACCGAAACGCATTACTGCTTCACGGCAGAAATAGGCAGGGCGGTGGTACCTACCCGCGCGGACTCACAAAAGGTCCCACCTCCAGTAATTACGCAAATTATAATTTTGCGGGTTTCATTTTTATTACAAAATGTTATTCATTCACGATAGAAGTCAATCGTGAACATTTCGTAAGTACGTATATCATTAGAAAAATTGGTACCCGCCTGCGGGATTCAACACCGGTGCATCGCTTCAACACGAATGCACCGGACGTCTTATCTTTTAGGACATGACGACTTGAGCGACGATAACCGCTTACCATCAGGTGGGCCGTATGTTCGTCTGCCTACCGTCGCATTAAAAAAAAGTTTCTGGTTCATTTGTGAAATTTTCTATATCTGCTTAGTAGTTTAAGCAGCTTTAGTGTTCTTTTTTATTATAACAAAACACAACAGGGACAATTTAGTATAAAATGAAAGTAAATCTTAAGTTGTCAGTGAATAGGGTCGAATTTCGGTCACGAACACCTGTACTATATGACTACATCCCGTTAACCTGATTTCCGGTATTGAGGACTCTTCAGTATGTAATTCGCTTAGCCTACTAAGTTAATCGCCGGATCTTCTCAGTGGGTCGCGTTTCCGATCCGGTGGTAGATTCTGCGAAGCACGGCTCTTGCTAGGGCCAGTGTTAGCAACACTCCGGTTTGAGCCCGGTGAGCTCACCTGCTAGCTCGGTGAATCTAGAATAACCCATCGAGGTTACTAGAATAGGTAGGGGAAAATAAATGTAATTTATTTTATTTATTTTCTTAAATATTCTTCAACAGGAACAATTGCGTCAGACTCTCGAACAGAAATTGAGCCAGACTATAGCTTCGTTGACGAGCGAGAAGGAAGCTAGCGAGGCGGCCGCGCGCGAGAGAGAGAAGAAGCTGTTAGTGGGCCGCGACCAGCTCATACTTCAGCACGACGAAGCCCTGCTCAGGGCTGAGAACGACAAGCAGCAGGCCCTGCTCATGGGTGAGTTCCTCACTGAACATTCCGCAGTCCAAATGTGGAGCGGCCCGGGGCAGTATCTCTGCTGCCCACCAGGGTTGATAGACAGAATCAGAAGGATTGGCCTTATCACGCACTAGGAGGTGAGAGAAAATTTAAGAAATAATAGGATAACTTGTATACTAGCTAAGCTACTGTGTGGCTAATCTATGTATTGATACGTGAAGCAAAAACTTTGTAGCCCTTTATACGAAAATTGCGCGGACGAAGGAGTATGAAATTACCCACTCTTATAGAGAATATAGAGAAGGAGTGCAGAATGTTAATATTTATTCTTAATTACGCATTAAAAATACATTAAATCAATAAATAAATAAAATACATTACCCGCACTACCATGTATTTAACACACACATATAGCAGACATTGTTCAGACGAAATATATTGAAATATTATGAAGTATGAATATGTATGAAGTATTATTATCAGTTACGTTATTATCACATTAAGTTTGCACCTACCAAAGGATTCTCTACACCACCCTTGGTTGACTGGTAGAGAATGCCTCAGGCATTAAGTCCACCATTGTACTTCTGTGCATTAAGTTAATTAAATAAATAAATAAATAAAATAATTGAATAATGTGAACAGCTCATCAAGAGCAGCAGGCGCTACTGGAGCGTCTCGAGGAGCTGAAGCGTGCGCTGGGCTGCGAGCAGAGCCGGCTGGAGCGCGCGCGGCGGGACGGGCAGGCGCGCGCCGACCAGGACCGCGGCTGCATCAACCAGCTCAAGGAGGAGCAGGCGCAACTGAAGACCAAACTGGAGGAAGCAAAGTCAGCACTGTTATTGCACTTTTTGTTTTTATTGCTCTTGTAGGCAGAGGCGAGTACGGTCCACCTGATGGTGAGTGGTTACCGTCGCTCATGGACGTCAGTAATGCCAGGGGCAGAGCCAAGGCGCTGTCTACCGCTTTTTTTTTTTTTATAACAAAGAGAGGCAAACGAGCAAGACGGATCACCTGATGGTAAGTGATTCACCACCGCCCACGGTCACCAGCGTTTACGCCAGTGCGTTGCCTACCCTTCAGGTAAGAATATGCTCTTTTCTTGAATAACCCAATGTCGCAGTTGTTGGGGAAGACCGCTGATGGCAACGAATTCCAGAGATTTACTGTGCGTGGCAGAAAACTGTTTTTAAAACGCATTGTACTGGAACGCCAACCATCCAGATGGTGCGGATGATAGTTCCGGCGAGACGATCGGTTGCGAAAATCAGCGGCTTCTATTAAATTGAACAGCTCCTCGGAACACTCCCCATTGTAAATTCTGTAAAGTATGCATAGGGAAGATAGATCCCTACGCAATGCCAAAGGATCTAGCCGATCGGCAAGTTCAGGATCGTCGACAATCCGAGATGCCCTACGTTGGATTCGGTCAAATGGAGATAGCTGATAACCCGGAGCCCCGGCCCAAAAGTGGCAACAATACTCCATGTGAGGCCGCACCTGCGCCTTATACAGTTTAAGGCGGTGAGACGGCTTGAAGTACTGTTTGGCCCTGTTGAGTACTCCGAGTTTTTTGGAGGCCATTTTAGCTTTGCTCTCCAAATGACCGCCAAACTGGACAACACTCGAAATGTCTACGCCCAGAATGCCAATGTTCGGCTTGGCACAANCGGCCCAAAGGTGGCAACAATACTCCATGTGAGGCCGCACCTGCGCCTTATACAGTTTAAGGCGGTGAGACGGCTTGAAGTACTGTTTGGCCCTGTTGAGTACTCCGAGTTTTTTGGAGGCCATTTTAGCTTTGCTCTCCAAATGACCGCCAAACTGGACAACACTCGAAATGTCTACGCCCAGAATGCCAATGTTCGGCTTGGCACAAAGGTGAGTGTTTCCGAAGAGTGGCGATGCGACAAAGGGGGCTTTTTTAGCGGTGAACGCGCAAACTTGAGTCTTAGAAGGGTTAAACTGGACTAGATTTAGTCCCCCCCAATCGGAAATCTTCACAAGGGATGATTCGATTTCAGACACAAGTTTGTTCCGACACTCATCGACGTGATCCCGAGAGATGTTGCTGCGGCCGAAATACAGTGCATCCACGGTACTGTCATCCGCATAGCAATGAATGCCACTGGTATGCAACAAATCATTGATATGCAGAATGAACAATGTCGGGGATAACACGCAGCCTTGGGGAACACCAGCATTTACGGTCCGGGGGTCCGAGCATGAGCCGTCTACGACGACTTTAACTCTCCTTTAACTATCTATACTAATAATGGTAGGCAGCGGCTTGGCTCTGCCCCTGGCACATAACCGCATCCTCTCTAGCCTTTCTTCTATTGAAATTCAGATTTTGACTTTTAGCTGAGTCATTGAAACATTAACATTTCGACACCTTCAGAGCCGCCGCGGAAGACGAATGCGCTCGGTACGAGAATCGAATCAAGGAGCTGCACCTAGAGAAGGAGGCCTGCCAGCGCGAGGCCACCGAGGTGCGCGCCCAGCTCGCGCTCGTCGAGGACAAGCACGACAACGCGCACGCGCAGCTGCAGGACACGCTGCGGAAACTGAAGGAATGTCAGTCTCAACTATGAAATTGAACCTTAACGCAGAAGAAATAAAGTCCGATATCTATAGTTATGACCTATATATAGTTCTATAGTTATATTAATGGTGGTAGGACCTCTTGTGAGTCCGCACGAGTAGGTACCACCATCCCGTTTATTTCTACCGTGAAGCAGTAATGCGTTTCGGTTTAAAGATTGGGGCAGCCGTTGTATCTATACCGAGACCTTAGAACTTATATCTCAAGGTGAGTGGCGCATTTACGTTGTAGATGTCTATGGGCTCCAGTAACCACTTAACTAAGCAATAAAAAAATACCTTTTGAATTTTTATGTTATGTTAGATACATAATGGTATGAAGCGTAATTACCTCAGTGGTCTAAAGGGTATTAGATACGGATACCCTTCGCGGGGGTGACGGACTGGGTTATGTCGGACTCCGGCGCCTCCAGAGAGGAAGAGAGAGACGAGGAGGGCCAAGGTCCTCCACCTTCCCCAATTCCTCGCAGGAGGCTACGCCTTTAAGAAGGCACGTGAGGTGCTCGCCCCGCAAAACCAACTACCGACTAAACCCTATCGAATCCGCCGCCGCTGTAGCCGGTACACAGGGTATTAGATTCTGGCGGTATTATATGCTTTTATTTCGTCATTTGTATAATACATGCGCAAAATATTTTAAGGTCTTGTGTTTGAATATGTGATCTTCCATCGTCCCAGTGGAGAACGAAGCGGACAGTCTGCGCAAGGAGCTGACGGACGTGCGGCGCCAGCTCACGGCGTGCGGCGCCGAGCGGGACAAGTACGGCGCCAGCTGCCGCGAGCTGCGCGACCACGTCAAGCGCGCCGAGCACGAGCGCAGGGACGCCGCGCGCGCCCGCGACGACGCCTACCACAAGATAGCCGGTACGCACACTGCCCGCCCGCCCAGCGTTGTGCGGTCGGTGACGTCACGTCAACTAGTAATGACTAGGGTTGCGAACTGAACACAAACAAGAAAAAGTCTTTATCTAGTATCGAGTCACTTTACAATATCTCCTATCAACATTCGTATACAATGCGTTACGTAAAAAGAAGACATTCATCGAAGGTCAATTGAGATCATTAATTTTTTTTTTACTACCTGGTAACTAAGACCTTTAAGCCATGCCTTGTTTTAATTTATATTCTTATTTTTATGAAAAATGATAATATTATGGAGTAAAATGAAATGAAATGAAGATGATTAATTTGAGACATCATTCAACTGGGATGAAATTAAATGAAATGAAATGAGATGATATAGGACGAAATATAATCTCAGTAAAATGGTGGTCATTTACTAAGATTTTTTCAGTGGACTTTTTGGAGGATCTCGAGAAGTTACGTCCAGCGGCTTCGTTTCATTTCCCACATTTGTGCACTTTCACAGATATTAAACAGTTAATAAACCACCGTTATTACACATTTAAACCTGAAGAAACACTAAATAGACCAAAATAAAATAAATCACACAACTTCACTCCTCGCGTTCTCCAAAAAGTCTCGATCATTAATCATTTTCGACAATGTTGCAAGAGCATTATAAAATATCACAAAATCGGTCCCTATTGTACTAATTGTTGTCTGACAGAGATAATGAAATGAACAGGTTTAGAAGAAAGCCGCACGTCCCTGGAACTAGAACTGTCCAGAATGCAGACCCTGCTGAAGGAGAGCGAGTCGGGCGGCGCGCACGTGCAGCGCTCGCTGCAAGCGGCCGAGGCGCAGCTCAAGCGCGAACGCGCGGCGCTGCAGCAGGCGCAGCAGGACCTCAAGGAGCTGCACTCCAGGCTAGTGTTATCCCCACTGTGATATAATGCACAGACTTACGGTTCGGTTCTTATTACTGGTGGTAGGATGAGTCCGCACGGGTAGGTACCACCACCCCACCTATTTATGCCGTGAAGCAGTTATGGGTTTCGGTTTAAAGGGCGGGGCAGCCGTTGTAACTATACTGAGACCTTAGAACTTATATCTCAAGGTGGGTGGCGTATTTACGTTGTAGATGTTTATGGGCTTCAGTAACCACTTAACATCAGGTGGGCTGAGGCTCGTCGACCCATCTAAGCAATAAAAAAGAAATAAAAAAAAAACTCGACAAAGTTTGCGCTTGGCAGATACTGGCGGGGCGTTGGGAGGGGGGGGGGGAAGTAACTGTGTGTATCGGTATCGGTCGGTGATACGATTGACCTTCGAGCTCGTGTTTCAAGGTGTATACCGACATACACTTTGGGATGTCTATGAGCTTCGGATAATTACTTTTTATCTCATTACTCATTAAAGAAAAAAAAAGTTTAATGTACTTCAGTAATGATAATTAACAAGTTTGAAACGAAAATAACATTGAAAAAGCTATTCTAAAAGAGACAAGTATGTTCATCTATACGATTTAATCTGTGAACACATGCTTTTTATTGTTACTGTATAAATAACCAGTAAACTAAATATATTGACAAAAAAAAAAAATGTATCTCTAGGATTTAACCATGACAAAATCGCATCTTTCAATGTGAGCGCTTCAGACAAGTTTATCTTTTGAGTCACCCCTTCTTTTGGTGCGATTGGACTCTGTGTTGTGAGCATTAATCACTATTATATGGAGTGTTCCGGTTATTATTAAAACTAAACTAAAGTAGTAAAAAATTTAAGTTTAAGTTATCTATATATTAATACGTGAAGCAAAAACTTTGTATCACTTTTTACGAAAATCGCGCGGACGGAGGAAGATGAAATTTTCCAAACTTTTAGAGAATATATAGAAGGTGTGCAGAATGCCGCCATTTTTTAATTATGCATAAAAATACATTAAATCAATAAAAAAAAATTACACACACTACCATGTATTTGATACAATATATGTATACTCTTTGATTATTGTCAAACTTTTGTTATTATTTAAAGTCTGTGGTCAAATTGAGAATAGATTAATTTTGTTTATCTTTAATATTATTTGTCTATAGCGTAGTCTTGGCGAAATCTGTGACTATAGAAGTATAACAGTCTTTGACAATAGAACCTTAATAATATTCAAACTTATAATGTCAATTAATTATAGTCGAATTTTGACTACTGCGGGACCACTAATATATATAAATTAGTGTTAAGTGATATTATTGTAGATGGCAACAATGTGAGCTCAGAGACGATTATGGTTTTTAGGGGTTTCATTTATTGTCGGTTTGTGGTCTCCGAATAAAGGCGTACGACAAGAAATTGTGTATTAATAAATTAACTAATGCACTAAGATACAACACTTACTGTTAACAGACTACAAAACGAGGCGGAGGAGCGCGAGCGGTGCGCCAGCGAGGCGGCGGCGGCGCGGCGGCACGGCGCCGAGCTGGAGGCCGTGCTGCAGGCCGCGCGGGCTGACCTCGCCGCCGCGCGCCAGCGGGCCGCCGAGCTGGACGAGGCCTGCCGCGCCAGGGACCAGGTGACCACACCATCACACCTGCTCGGTGATATATTACGGAACACCTTTGTCAGCATAATTCGCGTGACGCGTTAACTTTATTTCCTCAAATCGTTAGTGCACGATCAACAACCGCGTCACCAGGGTGCATTCATAACATTAATATTTCGTTGATTTACTTAATATTTTAACAATAAATATTTTTAATCAACATAATCTTTAAATCACCGTCGTCGTGGCCTAACGGATAAGACGTCCGGTGCATTCGTTTGGAGCGATGCACCGGTGTGCGAATCCCGCAGGCGGGTACCAATTTTTCTAATGAAATACGTACTCAACAAATGTTCACGATTGACTTCCACGGTGAAGGAATAATATCCTGTAGTAAAAATCAAACTCGCAAAATTATAATTTGCGTAATTACTGGTGGTAGGACCTATTGTGAGTCCGCACGGGTAGGTACCACCGCCCTGCCTATTTCTGCCGTGAAGTAGTAATGCGTTTCGGTTTGAAAGGTGGAGCAGCCGTTGTAACTATACTTAAGACCTTAGAACTTATATCTCAAAGTGGGTGGCGCATTAGATAATAGTAAATTATAACACTATTATGATTATATTGACAAAGACTATTATACTTCTATAACCACATATTTCGCCAAGACTACACTTTTATTTAGACAAATATTAATAGAGACAAACAATATTAAATCTATTCTCAATTTGACCACAGACTATAAATAAGCAATAAGAAAAAATTGACAATATACAAACAGTATGCATGCTTGTGCGTGTCAAATACATGGTAGTGTGTGTAATGTTTTTATTAATTGATTTAATGTATTTTTATGCATAATTTAAAAAATAGTAACATTCTGCATTTCTTCTCTATATTTTCTATATGTGTGTGAAATTTTATACTCCTCAGTCAGCGCAGTTTTCGTAAAAAGTGGTCCAAAGTTTTTGCTTCACGTATTCATATATAGATACTGCTTGTAGGAATTAGTGCTGCGTCTAGAAGACTGCCGCTCGAAGGAGCGTAGACTTGAAGAACTGAAGCACAACTTGGAAGTTTGTCTCGCCGATGCGACGCAGCAAATACAGGAGTTGAAGGTAGGTAGAGAAACGTATAGAGCAGCGGTCGGGGAATATATTGAAGTGAAACTTCTTTAGAATCGTTGTGATTTCAAACTCGATGAAACGAAATGAAACGAAACGAAAAAATAAGTCCATAGAGACACAAACACATAAATGTATAGGATTCAGCCGGCGAGAGAATGAGATAGAACACATTATTTGGAAACACAAGTTCACGTGATTGACTAGTTATTGCTTTCTTTTCAAAATTATCATGGGGGCTATAATATGAAAGATGCTAAAAAAAGCGATTTCGTTTATTTTTTGTTCTTCGCCATGGGATAATATCAACTTACACAAAAATATTTTTGGGTAATAATTAAAAAAGTTCCCCGACCGCTGGTATAGAGCCACGTATTTACTGGGCCGTATCAATTTACATTTGGTTACTTCATTTTACTTAGGAAAGACAACATTTGCTTGTAAGTAAATTGATAAATGAGTATTTTTTCTATTGCTTGAATGGGTAGATCGCGTCACGGTTCACCTGATGTCAAGTGGTAACCGGAGCCCATAGACATTTACAACGTTAATTACTACCTTAAGACATGAGTTCTAAGATCTTAAGTTTAACAGTACAACGGCTGCCCCATCCTTCAAACCGTAACATTTTACTGCTTCATGCTAGAAATAGGCAGGGTGATGATGCCCACCCGTGCGGACTCACAATTCGCTCTACCACCATTGAATTCACGAGGATATACCCCATCTGATGATAAACGACTACTGGAGATTAAGTGTATCCATCTTGAGATATCTGGTGAAGTTATTTATTGTTTATCTTAAGATTCACATTGGAATAGAATCGAGTGTGCTTATGACCACTTTGCAAGTTGTTCTTTAGTTCCTAACCGACTGACTAACTGACTGATAAATAATTGACTTAGTATTAAAATACATCACTTTACATCGGTTTGGGTTCAGTGCTGCTAACTCTTACTGCAAAGCGGCAGTTAAATGTATAATTCTTCTTCTTTTACCTAATTTTTGTTAGCAATGCACTTTGAGGTTCTGTAAGATTTTCTATATGACCACCACTAACTGAGTGCTTAATGTAAAAATCTTCAAATCTGGTTACATTCATTCAACTAGTAATATGGACTTAACAACCCGTTTTTAGTAATAACCGTAAAAGGAGGATGGATAAAAAAAACCAATCAGATTTGAAGCTAGTGATTAAGCACAAAAGTGGTTGCTCGCTGTTTTTTCTTTAATTAATTTTTGGGTTAAAAGTGTAGTTTTAACACTGAGTACGTATTGTTACGCCGATAAGAGTAACGCCATCTATCACCGAATAGTCGAACGAATATAGAAAGATCTAGAATGCTCGAAAATTACAACGCCATCTATTGTCAGATAGCGGAAACTACTACTAGAGAAGTGTGGAATATTCTCGATAATTCTAGGGATGAGGTATCGGCTATAAAAGCGTTGTAAAGATGGCACGCAGGCAGTCAGTAATCGGAACTACTCGAAGCGAAACAGCGAACGGATCATCTGAAGCGAAGCGGAACAAGCAAATTGAGAGTTTTAAAGTGTTTTTAGTGATGAATACCGTTTTTAAGTTGTAGTTTGGTGAAATTTTATTTATCCCGAACCTCAGCGCGTAACAGTATGTATGTATGATGGGCGTGGTGTGCAGGCGCGGCTCGGCGGGTGCGAGGGCCGGTGCCGCGCGCTGGAGGCGTCCCTGAGCCAGTGCGAGGGCGGCAGGCGCGAGGCCGAGTCCAAGCTGTCGTCGGTGGTGCACAGCTTGCGGCGCGTGTGCGGCGTGCAGCCCGACGGCTCGCTGCAGCCCGCCGCGCGCCGCCGCCTCGCCAGCCCCGCGCGCCGCTACAGCCCGCACCGAGGTACCGCCGCCGACATGCAAGGCCCTATTGAGTTTTTACTAGTGGTAGGACCTCTTGAGAGTCCGCGCGGGTAGGCACCACCACCCTGCCTATTTCTGCCGTGACCTTAGAACTTATATCTCAAGGTGAGTAGCGCATTTACTTTGTAGATGTCTATGGGCTCCAGTAACCACTTAACACCAGGTGGGCTGTGAGCGCGTCCACCTATCTAAGCAATAAATAAAAAATAGTATAGCGGCTGACCTACCCTTCGAAATTGAAAGCATTGTTGCTTTGTCTCAGAAATAGGCAGAATCATGGTACTTACCTGTGCGAGCTCACAGAAAGCCTTACAACACCAGTCATTCCGCAAAAAAGTGAGCTGTAACACGTGGGTGCGATTATGAAAGAATCCCTCTTTTTTTTTTCCTTCCTATTCAAGTAACCTCGAGGAGTTATTCTATATTCGCCGAGCTTGTAGGTGAGTTCTCGGGGCTCAAACCTGACGACGTTGCTAACACGAACCCTAGCAAGAGCAGTGCTTCACAGAATCTACCACCGGATCGGGAACGCGACCCACTGAGAAGATCCGGCGAGAAACTCAGTGGGTTGTGTCTATGGGTTAATTTACTCGTCGAGCCCTTCGTCGCAAGCGACGGGTTCGACGAGGACGATGACCGGTGAAATCCCCTATAACTGACTAGTTGATTAAGGGGGTTAAATTTTCAGGTCGTGATCATTCCGAGGATCGTAACGAGATAATCGACGTCGATCCGGAGTTGATCAAGAAGGGCGTCAGGAACCTGATGCACGATGTCTGTCAAATCGAGAGGGAGAAGGTAGGGTTCACAGAGACTTCTAGTGGTGACCCGTCGTGAGCCTAAACGGATAGATAACATTCTATCCCCCTTATCTTCGTCACGAAACAGTCATTTATTTTGTGAAAAAAAAAAGATGTGTGGTGTTGTGGGACACCGGATAGAAACGAAGTTCCTTATTACAATAAAAAAAATTAGTTCTATTCGAGGTATAAAGAAAATAATTATTCGGGTATACGTTTTTTATTGATAAAAATAAAAAATAAAATAATTATTAATATTAGTACCCCCATGCTTTGAATCAATTCCAAAAGTTTCATGAAATATAGTATAGTGAAATATAGTAGAGATTACTAACCAAAGAAACTGTGTTGAAGTGAATAAAATCCCGACCAAACAAAGGATTGCGTAGTTCTTGTTGCTATCGACAGATAGCGCTTAACCAAAATATAAATAATAAAAATCTTACGTTACGGACGTCTTTTTCCCGTTAGGGTACCCCTCCGCATCGTACCACAAGGAACTTCGTCCAAAAATTTAGACTTAGTATATCAATGTACGAACATTAAGCTGTATTTGTATCATCCCAATGCTATAACATAAAAAAAAAACTAGTTTAATTTGAATGGTTTTTAAAATATGACTATAACGTTTCAGGACGACTACAAGTCTCAAGTGACCGTGCTCAAGAAACAGTTGAAGGAGGCGACGGAGCAGCAGGGCAAGGGCGAGGGCAAGCTGCAGACGGCGGCCGCCAGCCTGCGCGCGCTGCAGGACGAGCGGGCGCGCCTGCACGCCGCCTGCGGGAACAAGGACGCGCAGCTGCTCGCGCTGGTACGCACCCCCCCTACCCGCACGTGACCCCCCATGCGGGGGCCGGCGTGGTGTGAGCCCCCCACCACGCAGATAACGCACACTGTCACGCGGTCCGGTTTGGAGGTTAAAATACTTTTTTACTGGTGGTAGGACCTCTTCTGAGTCTGCACGGGTAGGTACCCCTACCCTACCTATTTCTGCCGTAAAGCAGTAATGCGTTTCGGTTTGACGGGTATGGCAATCGTTGTAATGCAAGAACTGAGACCTTAGAACTTATATCTCAAGATGGGTGGCGCATTTACGTCGTAAATGTCTATGGGCTCCAGTAATCACTTAACATCAGGTGGGCTGTGAGCTCGTCCAACCATCTAGTAATAAAAAAAAAGACTTAAACCTCATGTCTCAACATGGAACGCGACATTCACACTCATGTTTGAAAGCTCCTGTTACAGCTTTGTACTTTTCGCGTACATACTATGTTTTATGTTTGTACTGTTTTATGAATAAAGTGTAATAGTAATGAGTTTTCAGAACGAATCGATACAGTCGAAGACGGTCGAGATAAGCAGCTTGAGGGACAAGATAACCAGCTTAGAAGCGGCTCTGAGCTCCGTCACCGAAGAGAAAGTACAATCGGAGGTGCGTCCCTAACTTGGTCCCCATCGAGCAGCTTTAGCATTGGTTCTTTCGTCTAAAAAAGTTCACAAAATTTTTCATAATGCATGCACTCGTTTCCTATATTCGAAAACATCGACGAACTGAAGTGTGTATTATATATTATAGCATAGTATTAGCATAGTATTTAGTATATAACATAATTAATAGGTGTAATCTCGTATGTCCTCCTAATAAGGCGGACCACCCAGAAACATAGGTTTCTTCATAATTGTAAACTAGGATTAAGATGATAATTAAACATGGAATACACGCACAAGAAGACGTTTTGCTTTAACACCTCCCAAAGTACAACATTACAGAACAACGAATTAGTACATTTGTTTTTGCTATAGAATATTTATTAATTAGTTGAAACCGTTTTAATTGTTTAAATTACAGAACAAGGCGGAGAGTCTGCGCGCGCAGCTGGCCGAGCGCGCACACGAGGCCGCCCAGCTGCGGGAGGCGCTGACGGCTGCCGAAGGTATGCGCCTCCATGTTTCTTGTTTCCTACCTATTTTAGTGACCTAGAAGGGTCATACTAGATTCACCGAGCGAGTAGATGAGCTCACGGGGCTCTAATCCGTGAATGATGCTAACACTAGTCCTAACAAGAGCAGTGCTTCGCAGAATCTACCACCGGATCGGGAACGCGACCCACTGAGAAGATCCGGCGAGAAACTCAGTGCGCTGTGTCTGTGGGTTACTTTACTAGCCAAGCCCTTCGTCGGAAGCGACGGGTTGGACGAGAACGGTGACCGGTGCTTGAGGCGCCTGAAAGCACCGTTAGTGGATCAGGAGGATCCGAAATGACGTGTTTGGGGCGACGTCAACTGTTTGCTATTCCGTCTGCTCTATGTGCTGCGAATGTGGGTCGACGACTTCTCAGCTCGTCTGGCGTTAAGTGACGAATCCATCTAACTTGAGTCGTGAGGTCCAACTTGGAGCTTGGACCGTCCAAGTCCCGGTTGTGTAGTGAAGTGGTTGACCCCGATGAGTGGGGCGGCGGCGCTATAGTAATTAAGCAAATAGTCTGGATATATTTATTTTTTTATTACAGAAGATTGGGTAGCCTTTAATATCTCCGGTATTATCGCGTGGCATCGCGTCGCTTTGAAAAACATGATTATTCCTTAATAACCGAAGAAAGCATTTTCGTTTACCCAAAAAAACTAAACGATCAATTTATGGTTAAACTTTTTTTAAATAGGTACTTTTCCGGAGTATTTCGTTGTTTCTTCTTGTCGATGTCGACAGGCAAAGGGAACTTAGACCATACAGACAAATGTGTAATGAAGGTGCGATGTGTCAGGTCGCGCGGCCCGCCTGGACGTGCGGCGCGCGCAGCTCGAGGGAGACGTGCAGCGCGCCGCTGTCGCCGCCAGGGACAGGGACCAGGCGCTCAAGGTTACCACATCTCTCTATATATCTATCTAACTAACGTCCGAAGGCAGGCGATCCTATTGTGATGTATGAATGTATTTTCCATACAAACCGGGTGACCACTTTAACCAATATATTTCTAACTAGCTTTTGCCCGCGACTCCGTCCGCGTGCAATAGTTACTTTGGCATAGCGCAAAATTTTACCCCCCACTTCATTTACGTAGAAAGTGAAGATATTTTTGAATTATAGAATGTTAAGGAGCTATTGAAAACCCTATTTTGAGACATTCTTTATCGGTGCTCCACTTGTATTAGTCTTACCGTGATGTTAAATAGCCTATAAGCCTTCGTCAATAAATGGGCTATCTAATAATGAAAGAATTTTTCAAATCGGACCAGTAGTTCCTGAGATTAGCGCGTTCAAACAAACAAACTATTCAGCTTTATAATATTAGTATAGATATGAGAATTATGTAGATAATTTGTGAATTGAAAATTCAGAACTTGGCTAACGTCGTGCTACGACAGAGCCTAGCCGATGGAGGCGCGCATATACGCCACTTAGATAGATAATATACTTAATATTTGTCACTTACCTACCAGCCTTCGTGAGGAGCGGAACTACCATGCTAGGAACTCTCGTTTTGTTTGCTAACGTCAAAAGAAGACTGCTATATTGTAAATAAACGTGTTTTGTGTACTCACTGTTTCGTGTCTATGATGTTGACGATGTTATCGATAATGCGGTCGCTCCTACATATATATATGAGTTCGTGTGACTCAAATCGAAAGGTCATCAGACGTATGAGGCTGTCAACGCGAAAGTGGCCTAACCCACGATTCATATTCATGCTTATGTATTGCAAAATCGACCTATCCCTAATTTCCCTAATTTGAAGGGTGAGGTAGCCGTTGTAACTATACTTGAGACCTTAGAACTTATATGTCAAGGTGGGTGGCGCATTTACGTCGTAGTTTTTTATGGGCTCCAGTAACTACTTAACACCAGGTGGGCTGTGAGCTCGTCCACCCATCTAGGTATAAAAAAAAAGATCATCCGTATGTAACATATGTCTTTGTTAACATCATTTTAGCGCGTATTGTAAAGGTAACGAAGTATTGTAAAGGTAAATTCGAACCTCATTATCTCCATATTAACTGTGGTAAACTTAGGCCACTTTTGCGCGGACTGCCTCATATATTAGTCGATGTTTGGTTACAGAAGCTGCAAGAGCGCTGCGAGGGCTACACCCGCACGATCGCGCAGCTGGAGGACCGCTGCACGTCGCTGAAGGGCACGGTGGAGCAGCTGTCGGCAGCGCTGCAGCGGGCCGCCACCGCTGAGGGCGAGCTGCGCGCCGAGCTGGCCAAGCTGCAGCGGCAGCTCGGCGAGGCGCGCGCGCAGGGACAGAGCGCCGCCGAGAAACTCAGGCACATACAGAAGAATATCAGTAAGTTTTTTTTTTTCCTACCAATGCTGATAGGCTTGAGAGGCTATTTTTCAGCTTCGCCCTAACGTGTAGATGAGCTCCCGGGGCTCAAACCGGAGTGTTGCTAACACTGACCCTAGTAAGAGCAGTGCTTCGCAGAATCTACCACCGGATCGGAAACGCGACCCACTGAGGAGATCCGGCGAAAAACTCAGTGAACTGTGTCTATGGGTTAATTCGCTCGTCGAGCCCTTCGTCGCAAGCGACGGGTTCGATAAGGACGGTCACCGGTGCTTGTGGTGCCTAAAAGCACCGTTAATGGATCAGGAAGGGTTATGTTAATGCCATATTGTTTGCGTGGCTAATATACCGCTATAGGCTTGGTGGGCTCTCATCGGTTTAAACAAAAGGCCCAATGCAGGGAAGAAGTGACTAATGAAACGGTCGCTTATGCGAGTTCGTATTGAAAACTGCGCAGTACAACAATGACTCTTCACATAGTCCAACTTATTAATAGCAAAAGAGACCATTCTCTGACGTTAATAATAAAGTTCGAGACAAAGAATGGAAGCAACTCAATTGGTGTTGGCTGCGATCGAACGTCGTGCGTCACTCTTTGAGTCTTTGAGTCACTAGTTTCGCTGTTTATTTGATTTGTTAGCAGCATCTTTATATATGGCCTTTAAGTATGTGTGGGGTTTCTCTTAGGAAGATCTTCCACCGAGCGGGTGATATTTGCTCGGTAGACCGACAGTCCGAATGTTGTTGTTCGGAACTTATATATATGTAAGCTTATCTTGAAAATGTCGTAAGCGAGATTCAGTCATCTGTCAAATATCTTGCGTTGTATGATGGCTACCTCCACATAATTATGCTTTCCGAGTTTACTTACTACTACTTACTTAACTTAGGCAAATTGGCTAATGACCAGCCATTGCATACCCCCCTTTTAATATTACTACTTTTGGCTGAATAATCGAAATTCGATCGTAAGTTAGTAGTACTTCAAGTTTTAGTTATCAGCATTCTCCTGTCCTTCTCCCAGTCACTGGGGTCGGTGCAATATGTTTTCTTCTTTCATACTCCTTTATCATATAAAATTTTTTCATCCTCACTCCCCTCTTATATTGTCTTTCACGCAACCCATACATTTCTTCTTAGGTCTACCTCTTTTTCTAAAGCTTTCCACATTCATAGTAAAACTCTCTTACCAACCTCATTTACATTTCGTCTCATGACATGTCCATACCACCCCAAACGCGCGCTTTTCAGCTTCTCTGTCACAGGTGCCACTTTCAGACTTTCTCTAACATATTCATTTCGTATTCTATCCATTCTCGTTACTCCACACATCCATCGCAACATTCGCAGATGCTGAGAGATCTGCTGCATGCAATCGCCTTTCATCCGCCACTTTAGTGGTCCAACAAGCTGATTCATACAAGACGGCAGGCCTTATTAAGGTCTTATATATCTTCCCTGTTAGGCGAAAAGAAATGTGTTTGTCACACGTGGTGCCCCAAGATTTAGTGTCATGTAAAATACGAAATCCTGCTGTCTATCTTGCCGTTAATATTTTAACAAAACGTTGCATCAAATTTAGGAGTATGTCTAGGACCGATGACAGTGCAATAATAAGTATTTTCGATAATATTAGATTTAGTTACTTATTTTCTATTTCGAAATGATTTCCTCTTTCATAATTTGGTTATTAACAAATTTCTTTCTTGCTTATTAAACCATTTACTTTGTGGTCGTGATTTTCAATGGTCCCATCATTGCCTCGCGTGTTGAGGCCGCGAGGGGGTGCAGGATGACAGGGTCTGGATCGAACCCAGGGTCGTTTCCTAATGAAACCCAATTTTATTTTTAGCGAGTTGCGAGAACGAGCGGCGCGTGCTCACTGAGAAACTGGACAGCGCCAAATCGGCTCTCGGCGAGTTGAAGCGGCAGAACTCGACGCTGGAAGACCAGGTCCACAGACTCACCAATCAGCTTGCAAACGTAGAAGTGCAACGGTAAGAGCGTGCGTCACGCAGATGTAAAGGATTCTATTCTCAATGACCGATCTGTTCTATTAATGAACGTCAAAGAAAGAGCAATGGAAACAGTGTGGATACTGCGCAATGTAACACAAAAAACAAAGGTCAACGACCTTCAGTGACGTTATTTGATTTCTCAGTGCAGCGCGCTCATCTTCGCTTCTGTATCTCGGGTGTGAGGTTTGAATGCAGACCCGAGTCGGTATCTTTGCTTAAAAAATATCTTTAACATTGGGTATTGGACGCATGGCAGAGGGTGGAATGGTAGGGATGTGTAATCATTGGTTTTGATGGCTGATTCTGTAGACACGCAGATATATTGCTTTAATTTAGATAAAATCCACAAAACAAAGACAAAAGAAGCTAGACAAAAATTTTGATAAGTTTTTTTTATGTGTCATAACTTAACTCTAGGTCAATGAGATCCCGTCTTAACATTAGTACGGGTACCGGCTAAGGCGAGAATTTCGTCGCGCACTGCGGTACCGTAAGTTTCGTGTAGTCGGGAGCTCGATGGGCTTTAGTCGGTAGTCGGTTCTGCGGGGCAAGTGCTTCGCGCGCCTTTTTCAAGGCGTAGTCTCCTGTGAGAAATTGGGGGAGGTGGAGGACCTCGGCCCTTCTCTTCTCCCCTTCTTCCTCTCAGGAGGCGCCGGAGTCCGACATAACCCGGTCCGTTACCCCCCTTCGACCGGGTATCCGTAAATGGATTCCTCAGCGTTAAAAGGTCAACCGATTTTAATGATTCGTTTTTTTATTTGAAAGTTGGTATTTCTCACGCGGTTCATTTTAAATTTCATCAATAACTAATGTTTAATTGACTCCAAACTATATTGATGATATACATTTTGTTTATTTGCAGTCGGTATACGGTAATCTTTTGTATACTGTTTGTTACTGTTTTTTTACTGGTGGTAGGACCGCTTGAGAGTCCGCGCGGGTAGGTACCACCACCCTGCTTATTTCTGCCGTGAAGCAGTAATGCGTTTCGGTTTGAAGGGTGGGGTAGCCGTTGTAACTATAACTGAGACCTTAGAACTTATGTCTCAAGGTAGGTGGCGCATTTACGTTGTAGATGTCTATGGGCTCCAGTAACCACTTGACACCAGGTGGGCTGTGAGCTCGTCCACCCATCTAAGCAATAAAATAAAAAAATCATGCTAGGGTTCGTGTTAGCAACGTCATCAGGTTTGAGCCCCGTGAGCTCACCTACTAGTTAAGGTTACGCTGAAATAGCTTCTCAAGGCTCTTAGCTTAGGTAGAAAAAAGAAAAAGGTATACTGTAATCTTTTGTATATGTCATATTGGTTTCAGATCTGGCCTAGAATCCCAACTGCGCATGACGACCTGGGACGGCAAGGAGTCCAACGACGGCGAGCTGGAACGCGAGCTTCACGAGCTGCAGCGAGAGCGCTCCGAGCTCAAGGCCAAGAACGACGCGCTCCAGGACACGCTGAGGAAGCTGGAGGCGGACCGGAGGATGACCAGGCCCTCCGTGTTGAGGACCAAGAGCCACGACCGGACCGAGAAGAGCGTGTACTACTCGGATTTGGATTCAGGTTTGTGGAAACATTTACTTTGTTTGGTACTTAACCCGCATTCGATTTTGTTTTTATTGCTTTCAAGGGTGGACGAGCTCACAGTCCACCTGGTGTTAAGTGGTTACCGGAGCCCATGGACATCCACAACCTAAATTCGCCACCCACCTTGAGATATAAGTTCTAAGGCCTCAAGTATAGTTACAACTAAAACTAAAATTCATATCTCGTGTATTTATAATTTATACTGTTACTAAAATTTCACACATAGTAGAATCGAATCCTTCGGTACTATTCGATAGAGATATCTTTCTCTCTCTCCTAAATACGTGTATTTGCTTCTTGTGCTAAAGCAGTTTTCACATTAGTTACGATAAAAGTCATAAATTTTGGGAATAAGAGTGACAAATATATTACAGAAAGAATTTAAAAGGAGTCGTACAAAAAATGACTTCATAGATTCTGGTTACGAAATTTGACTCTCCTTTCCAGGGCCAGATTCGACTAAGGACTCGTCGTCGCACTGCTACAAGGACAAGGAGGTGCCCTGCAGGGACAAGGGACTCTCCACCGAGCTGAGTCTGCTCGAGCTGGAGAACAGAGAGCTGAGGATGAAGATACGACGCCTCGAGAAGGAACTTGCTGATAAGGCACGTATTTATTAGATTTCAACCCTCAGACACAGCCCACTGAGTTTCTCGCCGGATTTTCTCAGTGGGCCGCGTTTCCGATCCGGTGGTAGATTCTGCGAAGCACGGCTCTTGCTAGGGTTCGTGTTAGTAACGTCGTCAGGTTTGAGCCCCGTGAGCTCACTCACTCACGTGAGTTAAGGAGACGCTGATATAGCCTCTCAAGCCTATCAGCTTAGGTAGGAGAAACCAAAAAAAAACTAGATTTTTCCCTGCCTATACCTTGCCTGCCTATAGCCTTGAGAGGCTATTTCAGCGTTACCCTAGCGTGTAGGTGAGCTCATGGGACTCAAACCAAAGTGTTGCTAATACTGGCCCTAGCAAAAGCGGTGCATCGCAGAATCTACCACCGGATCGGAAACGTGACCCACTGAGAAGATCCGACGAGAAACTCAGTGGGCTGACATAGAGTTCAAATTCGATGTTTGAAGGCTTCACGCGTACTACTTACTGGGTACGTAAATAACGGGTTTGGTCTATGGGCATTGGTGGTCCAGTATGTACCGACCAGTTCGATCGAAATGCGAGGAGATTTTTATCCCTGTCTAATCGTTGGTCACCTAAGGGCTATTCCAACTTTATGTAGACCAACAGGTGGGCTCACGGGCTCAACCTGAGAGAATTTGCTAACACTAGTCCTAGCAATAGCAGTGCTTCGCTGAATCTACTTCCGGATCGGAATCGCGACCCACTGAGAAAATCCGGCAAAAAACTCAGTGAGTCACGAGGAGCTGTGTAGTTGACTGCTTGCACTCGTGGAAGTAAGCTAGTGTGTATAACGAAGCCATCAGACGTGGCTTCATAGGTTCTTTCAAAATAAATCTTGATGTTTCAGTTAATTTCGATAGATTTACCGAAATTTTATTTAGATAATTTCATTTCATTTCATTACATTAACGAATTCAAATAAACCAACTTCATGTAATTGCGCTCTATCATTTGTCAAATAACAATTGAAGATTTTATAAACTCAACGCCGGCAACACTGGCATCGCAAGGCTAAATTGCCAGACTAAAAAATAAAATGTACGACCGAACTTGTCTCGTCTTTTGCGCTGCGACTTCAACTGATCTAGGCTCGGTTGTAATTCCACAGGAGTCGGAGCTGGCGGTGGCCCGCAGCCGCTACCTGGGCGAGCTGTCCGCTTCAGGCCCGGAGTGCCGCGACGACGCGGAGCAGTACCGCCGCGCCGCGCTGCAGGCCGAGCGGCTGCTGGAGGCGCGGGAGGCCAGCCACCGCCAGCAGATGCTGCGTCTCGAGAACCAGGTACGAAAACCCTCACATTTCGTCTTTTTACTGGTGGTAGGACCTCTTGTGAGTCCGCGTGGGTAGGTACCACCACCCTGCCTTTTTTTTGTTGTTGCTTAGATGGGTGGACAAGCTCACAGCCCACCTGGTATTAAGTGGTTACTGGAGCCCATAGACATCTACGACGTAAATGCGCCACCCACCTTGAGATATAAGTTCTAAGGTCTCCGTATACTTACAACGGCTGCCCCACTCTTCAAACCGAAACGCATTACTGCTTCACGGCAGAAATAGGCGGGATGGTGGTATCTACCCGTGCGGACGCACAAAAGGTCCTACCACCAGTAATTACGCAAATTATAATTTTGCGAGTTTTGATTTTTATTACACGATGTTATTCCTTCACCGTGGAAGTCAATCGTGAACATTTGTTAAGTACATATTTCATTAGAAAAATTGGTACCCGCCTGCGGGATTCGAACACCGATGCATCGGTCAACACGAATGCACTAGACGTCTCATCTCTTAAGCCAGGATGACGGTTATAAAATCCTTTAAAATATAAAAAAGGGTGCGTGTAAGAAGCGTAATAAGTAAGCAGTAATAAGCAATGTACGCGCGTAAGAAGTTATACTTTATTTTTATTAAATTAATTTCTTTTTTTTAATTTAAATTTTAATCAATTTGAAAGAAAATCGGTTAAAACACGCATATTGGACATCCCTTTTCTTAACATCGTATAAATTCGGTAATTCTCGGTACGGTTCGGAAAGTTCACCTGCGGCTATATTCAGACTCGCCAAATCACGTCGGTCGTATTGTAATGAGCGATTTAGTGGGCAACTTCATTCTGTTAATTTTGTGTCACGGTGCGCGCGCATCGTAAAATTTCACTCTCATCAATTTTTCATAACGCGCATAAAGAAGTATAACTTCAAAAATTGTACTGCGGTTGTCAGGCGGCGCAGCTCCGGGCGCAGCTGTCGGCGGAGATCCGGCGGCGCCAGGCGTACGTGTCGCGCAGCGGGCGCGCCGCACGCGACGTGCAGCGCCTGCGGGCCGCGCTCGGGGACTCGCTGAGGACGGTGTCGCAGGTACCCACCGCTACATCACTACATACTATAAAACAAGTCGCTTTCTCTGTCCCTATATCTGTCTGTCCCTATGTATGCTTAAATCTTTAAAACTACGCAACATATTCTGATGCGGTTTTTTTAATGGATAGAGCGATTGAAGAGGAAAGTTTATATGTATAATAACATCCATTAAATGGTGGAGAAATCAATAATAAATTACAGTTTCCGAAGCGAAGCGAGGTCAGGTCGCTAGTGTCCACATAAAGACGAAACTTACGAGCATCCACTGTTTCTTTTTTCAAACGTTACCCGCTACATGTCCACATAAACACCAAACTTTTGGAACATCCACTGTTTCTTTTTTTTAACGCTACCCGCTACATGTTCTCACAAAAACCAAACTTTAGGAGCATCCACTGTTTCTTTTTTCAAACGTTACCCGCAACATGTCCGCACAAAGCTTTAAGTATAAGTAACTCGTTTCTTTTTTTCAAACGTCACGTTATTAATTGTACTATTGTTTCCCTAGTAGTCGAAATTCGAAATTCGAAATTCAAAAATAAAAAAATCACAGATTTTGCCAAGACATAGACAAATCTATTCTCAATTTGACCACCGACTTTAAACAATAACAAAAGTTTGACAATAAACAAAGAATATATTGTCTTCAACAGGATCCGGCCCTAGACTCTTACACATTGGAACATGAAGCCAGAAAGTTGGACAGCACCCTGGCTCATAGTCTACCGCCGCTCACCGACAGCTACGACTCATCAAAATAAATACAACCCCAGATTTGAATCGCCAAAGAAAACTTAACAAGGGCTTAAGAGCTACCATAGTGTAGCCATATGGCGTAACAGATTTAGTTCAGAGCTACCGTAGTAAATGTGTCGTCAGAATTTGTGGCGTAACGCATTTAGTTCAGAACTACCGTAGTAAACGTGTCGCCAGAATTTGTGGCGTAACAGATTTAGTTCAGAACTATCGTAGTTAACGTGTCGCCAGAATTTTTGGCGTAACAGATTAGTTCAGAACTATGGTAGTTGTTAACGTGTCACCAGAATTTGTAGCGTAAAAGATTTATTTCAGAACTACCATAGTAAAAGTGTCGCCAGAATTTGTGGCGTAACAGATTTAGTTCAGAACTATCGTAGTTAACGTGTCGCCAGAATTTTTGGCGTAACAGATTTAGTTCAGAACTATGGTAGTTGTTAACGTGTCACCAGAATTTGCGGCGTAACAGATTTAGTACAGAACTACCATAGTTAAAGTGTCGCCAGATTTTGTGGCGTAACAAATTTAGTACAGAATTGCCATAGTAAACGTGTCGCCACAATTTGTGGCGTAACAGATTACATATAAATTGGTGTTCAGATATTAAGAGATGATAATTTTTAAACATCGATTATTCAATATATTGAAGAAATCTTGAATGTGTTCATTGTTGGCATTACAACGCCATTAATTTATTTCGGATTAAGGTAGTGGTGTTTCTAAATATTCACGAGTACTCACGTTTAGTATTATATGCACTGTTTAGTGCTACATGTGGTCTGGCGTGGTACATTATAGCACGAGGTAAATATGTGACAAGTATAGTGTTGCTTGGAACTCTGACTCAAATATTGTGTGGATTGTTATATTTTGTTATTTTATAGTTTTCTGTGGGGGCTTAATCTTATATTAACTGTTGTTTATTGACCGTTTAGTATCTATGAAAGTGCGCAAATGCGGGTAAATTAAATAGTCGCTTGATGTAAAAACTGTACCGTAAAATTGAGACCTTAGAACTCATGTCTCAAGGTATGTGGCGGCATTTACTTTGTAAATGTCGATGGGCTCCGATAACCACGTAGCATTAGGTGGGTCGCGAGCTTGTTCACCCAAATAAGCAATAAAAAAATAAAAAAATGTGGCTTCTTGAGTTCTTCCAAAAAGTCCATTAAATTCTCTAAATAATAACCTGTATAGAGATTATATTTCATCCCATTTCATCTCGTTCCATTTAATTTCATCTTAATTGAGATAAACCAATTTAACTTTATTTCATCCGTATCAATTTTCACTCCAGAATATTTTTCATATAACAGAATACACAAAGTATTAGGCTGTATGGTGTGTGATGCCTTCGTCTTTCCTGTTGCTACTACTACTATTACTACTCACATATTAACACAAGGCACAAGGAACGCGCCACGCTGCCACCGCAGCTTGATAGTTTATGCATCTATTAGAAACACTAAACTAGATTGCAGTTCGGTAATTAAACATTAGATTTAAATAATAATATGTACAATCAATGTTTGATTTGGGACAATATTGGTTTTCAAGTACCTATAGTCATTTCTAGAAGACTTCGTGACCTAAAGGATAAAATATCCGGTGCATTCGTATCAATCTTGTCGTACGTTGTAAACCAATGGTAGGCAACGGCTTGGCTCTGCCCTTGGCATTGTCAAATTTGGCAAACGTCCATGAGCGACGGTAACCACTCACCATCAAGTGGGCCGTATGCTCGTCTGCTTATACGGTATTATAAAAAGGAAAACCTGTACTCTACAAACGCACTGCTGCTTCACGATAGAAATAAATCAAGAATGTGCTACAGCACAATACTACGATGCAATTCTCGCGTAGTCTTACTTGATTCATTCGAAATATATACTGTGTGTTTAGTGAGAGTTTTTTAACGTTTTCGATAACGTAAAAGTTAACATAAATTTGTATGGGGTTAGAACATTTGCCTACGTTTGCCGCTAGGGGCGCTGTTCCAACTGCATACAAATTTGAGTTAACTTTTACGCTATCGAGAACGTTAAAAAACTCGCACTAAGCACACTATTATTCGCATCCTATACGTGTTTTTTTACGTTTTCTACGTTGCAATTAAGTTATTGTCTCGATGAAAATATTTAATTGTATAATAATACGTCAAGGGAATTAATTATACGTAGCAATTAAAGGTAGTTGTTAATTTAAAATGAGTGAGTAATCGCCCGTTGCGTTCATGTTTTCCAAGAAGTAATATTTTTTATTTGGTATTTTCGCAATAAAAAATTAATTACAAAAATTTTCCTAATTTATACCAGACGATACGTTATGTGCGCTGTTTTTATTTTTATTTGTTTATATCAGTAATTGTGTTATTCTTGCTTATGATTCACGCCTAGTCTACGAAGAAGTTTTGGGGATATCTCTGTTAAAAACTTCGCCCCCAGCTTTATGTTAAGTATATTTTTTCTGTTATGGAATTTATTATTGAAAAATACAGATTAGGTCGTTTCCATTAAATGTATTATTTGAGAATTGACTAAATATTAAATGCGCAGCGTGCACTTGAGGTGCTCCTAATAAGGAACTAAATTTTTTTAATCTCACAGAGAGAAACGCAAGGGCGCGGGATCCATACGACTATCGTTGTTTGCATAAACACTTTCTTTATTAAATGCTATATTAAAAAAAAAAACGATATCTATACTTCTATACTAATATTATAAAGAGGAAAGATTCGTTTGTATTGAATAGGCTCCGAAACTACTGAACCGATTTGAATTTGAATTCTTTCTCTGTTTGAAGCTACACGATTCCCGAGTGACATAGGCTATAATCTTTTTTGAAAAAAATTAAGGATCCTCTACTAAAACTCCAATAATGTAACCCAAGGTGTAAAAAAAATACCTAAAATATTCTTCACATCGCGTGCCTTACGAAAACTATTGACGATAGAATAAAATAATGTACTACAACTTTGTAGAACACATTATTATTTACAAAAAGTGTCGCGACGGCATAATAATATGTCTAACTATTATAGTTATGCCGCAATAAGAGTTCTTTTATTTAAAAAAATAAAACGTCAAATATCGTTGAAATTTTTGTTAAAGACCCGAGTGGAGCCGGAGCGGGCCGCTAGTTGATAATAAAAAAAAGGAGTACTCAAAGGTAGACAGCGGCTTGACTGTGACTCCTCACATTGCTGACGTCCATAAGCGACGTTGACTCACCGTCAGCTGGGGCTATGCTCATTTGACTACAAAGGCAATAAAAGAAAAGTTTCGGGGTAACGTGAATGCTAACTTTCCGGCATTGTCGAGTCTATTCACCATCAAGCAGACAAAAAACGCGTCTGATAATCTTAAAAAAAAAACATATTTTTATGAAGTCTATGGTTGAAAAAAAAAAAACACTTCTGTGTGCTTGGTGCGAGTTTTTTAACGTTCTCGATAGCGTAAAAGTTAGCTCATGTTCGTATGGAATGGGATCGTTTGCGTACGTTTGCCGCTAGGGGCGCTGTTCCGACTGCATACAAAATTGGGTTAACTTTTACGCTATCGAGAACGTTAAGAAACTCGCACTAAGCACACGGATCCAAAAAGGCATTATACTCTTTGAAATCGATTGCAGTTTACGCGGTTGGGAGTTGTTTCAGCGATCTGTAGGTGTTTTTTTTTTACGAATTTTGGGATTTATTTTGAAATTTGAGGAAAAATCGGTAATTTAATGCGGTTTTCCCGTTCGGGCCACTTTGCGCACTCAGAGCTGATACAGCACTAACAATAGTGACTTCAAACTACATCATCAATGATTCGTTTAATATACCGCAAGCAAACAACTCTATACACACGTATTAATTGGCAAAATAACTCTATACATACGTATTGAGTTATGTATGTGGGAAAGCGTAATTCATTTTTCGATTGGCTTTTCCTGTGACGTCACTGACTGTTTAATAATAACTCATCATAATAATAAGCTGCATTTTATAGTTTTTTTTTTGTGTCCTTTGTGTAATTTCTGACGTGTTGAGAGTCCGCATGGTTTGGTTTTTTTTTATTGCCCTTGTAGACGAACATACGGTCCACCTGATGGTGAGTGGTTACCGTCGACCATGGACTTCAGCAATGCCAGGGGCAGAGCCAAGCCGCTGCCTACCGCTAAATACTCTCCACAAGCCTCGTTTGAAGAAGGACGTGTCATAGCGCTCGGGAAACACTGTGGAGGGGAGCTCGTTCCATAGCCGGATGGTACGTCAAGGTCCTTTCCTTCGAGTATGCGAGTCGTTCTATGGTGAGCGATTACAGTCGCCCATAGGCATCAACAATCTTAGGCGCAAAGCGAAGCCGCTGTTTATGGATCAGCAGTCTTGTCAAACTGCATTTGAAAAAACACTGCTTGGGAAGCAATTTCTAGAAACAGTTCATCCTAGAACCGGATAGCGTTTAGTATGTTCTTTGGTTTAATCTCGCCTTTATTATTGTCAAATCGCCCTCAAAAGTGGAAGGGTTTTTTTGTAGCTTAAATGTGTGGTGGAACTCACAGCCACATGGTGTTAAGTGGTAACCGGAGCCAATAGACATCTACAACGTAAATGCCGCCACCCACATCGAAACACGAGTTGTAAGATGTGTTTTAACAGTACAACGGCTGCCCCGCCCTTCAAACCGAAACTGCTTCACGGCAGACATAGGCAGGGTGGTGGTACCTACCCGTGCGGACTCATAAGACGTCCTACCTCCAGTCAAATTGGTTTAAGCGGCATTTCGCTCAATACACGTCATTTATCTTTGTAATCAAAGGTGCGTTTTATTTGGCATTAACATCGACAGTCCGATGTTTTTAATTGAACTTCAATTGAGAACTCCATTGAACTAGCTAAAGAAGTTTTTTGTCATATTTTTTTTAATTTTAAATTTTAAATGGCTCTACTGTAAAGTTGAAATAATGTCGCTTATACCAAATGGCCTCTCACACCTCTATTTAAATTATGTCCGTTGTTTCGAATACTGTATAGTTTCCGTGCTCGCGGAAGACCAAGGTGTTTACTTACACACAGTATTTTAAAATATTATGCTAACTGTCTTTTAACTTTTTTATAAAAAATAAAATAGATAAAATTATAGAAAACTACCTGTACCCGTCCGTTTCGCTGGGCATTTAAAATTAACATTAATAATTCTCACCCCCACAAAGATTCTCTCATTAACGCCCCCGCAATCTTGTATAGAGTCCAACACTCATATAAATATTAGCCTATCCATTAAGTGCATGTATTTTCTACATGGATACCAAGTTTCAAGTCAATCGGATGCACGGTTCAGTAGTTATAACGGAACATCCGTAAAAACCACTGTAGATTTATATATTAAGTATAGATGAGACGAATAGGGTGTGCCTGTCAAAAAAGTTCCTTGGACTTTGAGGAACGCATTAGTGCGATCGTATCACTCATAAAAAGGACTGGAATATCTCAAATATGTCATTTCTGCTTCATTATCTCAAACGTGCCTTTACTGCTTCTATTATTATCTCGAATATTCCACGCTCTCATACTTAATCTTGTTCCGAATTGAAGAGCATTATAATCATAATTATAGTGCCATCAAATTACTTTACATATAAGTAGCAGATAGGTTCGAAGTCTTGCCTCAAAAGTATGCTGCCTGGAAATTCCTATGAACGTCCAACACCTTCAACCTTTAAACAAAAACTCTTTGTACCCATGCAACCAAGTAAACAAAAAAAATCGATAATTTTAAATTGATTTTTATGTATTTTTTGTATTAGTATTAGTTTTTGTAAATTTTGAATGATATATTTATTCAATTAAACATCCCATATATTACACGCTTACTGATAATAATTATATCGTGAATTTTATAAAACTTTATTAGCACGTAAAATGAGCACAATTTAGGGAAGTCAGCGTGTAAAATGACTATTACATCATTGTAATAATAAAGGAACGTATGTATTTGATAAATTATTTCATATTGACCAACGGTTAAATAACAAAAATTAACAAAATTATTGAAACGAACAAAAATAGTCTTTAAGACCCGAAGCTTAAGGCCCATGCTCAATTCAAACTTTCAACATGTGACCTTTTTAGTTCTATATACAAGTAATCAGCTATGAATCATTGTGTACTGTTTAGAGATTTGTAGAATTAAAGCTAATTCGTCACAAGAATACCTGTTTGATAACACGCATGACTCAATCATCTGGACATTGGAGGACACCATTATTGGCAAACAAATCGTATCTGTACGTAGGGATTTTGTTTAAATCATCCGTCTTCTTCTTGTTCGCTGTAGTTTTAGAAGCCGTGAGCAGGATAGAATGATAGTGGAGTGCAGAGTGCGGTGGATAGATAAGGTGTTGAGGTTGAACGCGCCGGAAGTACAGTCCGAGGCGATTTTTATGCTAATGTTCTAGTTAATTTTTGGCGCAATGCTCACGAATGAAAATGAATATAAACGATTTTTTGAATATTTTCGAATTATTTTGAATGAAAAATGTTATAAACCAGTTATCTTCGTTCACACTTGTTTACTTACTATAAAACCATTTTTCAATTAACGAATTAGGTTAATTGGATCAGGTTTTCTTTTTTTTAAAACAATGACGTAATTCATAATTTTGCGTCCCAAATAAAAACGAGTTGTTGTAACAAAATGTGATTTAAATAAGTTTACATTACCAAAAATGTACATGGGAAAATATCGTAACTGCCCACATTAACAGCCCGTTTACCGCCCACTTTTCGAAGAATGTTCTAGTCGTTATGTAATCCAATTCATTTTAATTGAAAATAAAAGAGTTCTTACAATTCGCAAAATTATTCGCGACCAGCTTATACGTGAATAACGACATTATTAATCGTGTTTGTTATTCAAATTATTCAAGTTCAACTATTCTATTGTAATTTTAGAGATGTATTCGTAAGTAATTACCATGAAAACAATTCCGTCCAAAGGCGTTTTAAAAATTAAATTTTAATCATATTTCCGCCTCGAATTACTTATGAATTTTTGGATTAAAACTTTAGTAGTGAACGAAATAGAATTTAAAAAAAATGAAGATAATTTTTACACGTTCCAAGTCGTAGATATCGGATTGTCGATGCACTGGTTTCCACAAAATCATATCGCACTCGAAGGAATTTACACTTATCGCTATGTATTTTTACGTACCTACAGTTATCATAAAGCAAATTTCATATTATAGAAAACGTATAGTAGGTAATCTGGTTTCGGATATCGTTAGTTGTATTGAATCACAATTTGACCCCGCTGCGTAGATAAGCAAGCTAGACGTTGCCTAACATCCTGATAAAAGCAAATTGTTTTTATGCTGTGTACTGCATACTGCATTGTTATGCAAGTTTTACTCTGCATTCCATTTCAAAACGAAATCGGGAATTCGAAAAACTTGTAATAAAACGCTCTTATGAATGTGATCAATAAAGAACGTATTGCGTGGGACGTCTATATAGATCCAGAGCATTCAAATTGTGACCTTTACATTCACGGCTTTTCAAACCCACCATATTGCAAATTAAGTTTAATTTAGCTTCATAGTTCATCCCATGGTGTGCTCGATCTATGCGTTAGATCTTGTTACACAATATGGGGTGTGCCAGTGGTGAATTAATATAATAATTATTTTATGTAACTAGCTAGATTGCTTGATTATCATAGTTCTGTCGTACTTTGTTAGAATTACGTTAATATGTAGGACTGTGTCAATTCTTATGTTACTAGAATGTCGACATACGACCGCCACGTCTCACTGCGTTTATATTTAATATTATTGTGTGTTCTATAACGTGTAAGCAACACTTTTTATGTATCTTTTTTACACTGAAATAAAATAGTAGCAGATGATGTGCTGTCGTTTAATTTGATTATAAACCATTAAAATTCTCCGAGTCAATTGGTGTTTATTTGATTGTCGGTGGGGGTACGTCGCGCCAGGACCGATAGTTGTACCATGACTCATCAGACACTAACCAGGTCAATTGACATGAGGGGAGCATCACGGGAGGGACAAAATATACCCTAAGACATCATATTTAAAATTGGTTTTATTGATAAATTTGCAAAAGAAAAAGAAATTAATATTTATTGTACATGTCGATTATTATTGATCGAAAGATAAAAATATACAATATTTTCTTTGATTTGCACAATATATATAAAAAAATATAATTAAAAACTCAGATCAAAGTTTTTATACCAATATCCTTGTGCAGTAGTCATTAACTTTAACAGAAGAAAAATTGAGGAAACATCTAATTCTCGTAACAATATTTCAAACATCTATCATTACTTTTAACAAAGTTCTAGCAGCAAAACGTTGGCTGGTATTTAATTAATATTAAAAAATGAGACTGTAATTAGTAAACTTCATTTTATTTATAATAACGATAATTTTTATTTAGAACTCTTTATATTTTTAGGGGTCAATTGTACAGTGCCAATGGTGTAAGCACAACAAATGGCACAGGACTCCACCATAGAGACATCAACAACTATCTGCAGGGTGCAATCACCTAAGGCTTCTCTAAAATTTAAATTTATCAAGTTCTAAACTGTTACGCTAACATTCTCTTCAATACACTTGAATTATATAACAAGACAATAATATATCTGAAAAAATTTAATGTATCCTTAATTATTAAACATTACACTGGTTCAGACCAGCTGGCACAGAATACACCGAGCTTGTCTTGTACAGCCTCCGTCTAAATGTCACATAGACATAACGGATAATTCCAATCAGTACAATTAGACTCTAGTCAACAACCTTATGTTAGGTCCAAACAGCAAATAAAAACTAAATGCTTAATAACTGGCATTTTAACAATTTCAAATGAATAATATTAATTGTTTGTTTAATGCGTGTGCCCTTGATGCGTTTCATGGCAAATGTGTTGTTTTCTCAGGAATTTTCCTGTGTAATTGACAGAAGACTGTCTGTACCCAACATGGTTATTTATAATAACACAATTCATAAAATTTTCCACTGAGTTTTGAAAAAAATATGGAATCGATTCTAATACTGAGGAGGCCATGGAGAGTGCATGCTGACATCGAAAAATATTTACTGTGGAGTCTATTACGGTTTGTTCAATCATATACTTTGAAGTTTTAGATAAGAATGGGACACACTCCCCATAGGCTCAAAATACAATGTTTTACATCATAAGTAGTAAAGGAATATTTTTTTAATAATCATTTACAACTTCACAATCTAACCGCATCCACACAATACAAATGGAATTTTCTAGAGTGAAACACACAAAGACAATGAATTTATCCTCAAATACTGTACTATCAAAATAGAGTAAGATATCATTAACTACGCCTGTACAGAGAAAATGTGGTTATCATCAGTGACACTGAATTTCACGAGTGTTACAGCACTTGTAATATACAGTGTAACAAACACACATTCTCATACAGGTGTTTTGAAGCAACAATGTTCATCACCCGACCTAGATAAACTTTGGGAACTGCCGAGAGCCAAATCTGGGTACAAGAAGTCTTTCAAATTATTAAATATATTTATACCTAGACGCGTCGGAGACTCGTACAGCACTCTTACAGAATAATACATTTCCGTTTATTAGGTTTGTGTTCATCCTTCTTGGGGGACTTCTTGTTGATCTGTCTCACTAAGTCATAGAACACATCGTTAACATGTATTTTCGCTTTTGCCGACGTCTCCATGAAAGCGCAGTTGAAGTGGCGCGCCAGATTTTGTCCCTGTTCCTTGCCAACCACGCGCTCCGCCTCTAGATCGGTTTTGTTGCCTACCAGAACCATTGGCACGTCGGTCGTGTCTTTCACTCGCAGGATTTGTTCACGTAGATCCTGTAGGTCATTGAACGTAGACTGTGCTGTGATAGAGTACACCAACACGAACCCTTGCCCGTTCTTCATGTAGAGATCCCGCATCGCGGTAAACTGCTCTGTACCTGCGGTATCCAGGATCTCGAGCATACATTGCTGTCCATCAACTTCCACTTGTTTCCTGTAGCTGTCTTCGATGGTTGGGTCGTATTTCTCGACAAAGATGCCTTGTACAAATTGCACTGTCAGGGCGGACTTTCCCACGCCTCCGCTGCCTAACACAACTATTTTGTACTCGCGCATTATTCCCTATATTGTGTCACTTGAATTTGTTTATAGAAATTAAAGATCAAATCGGTAATAAGCACATTAACTTGGTAATTATTGCAAAAAAACCTTCAACAAGTCAAACCGCCATGACACCGTTAAGAGGGCGATGGCTCACTATGTTAGTGTTGCTGACTTCAAAAATTAACTTGATTTCCCATTGACTACCTACTACTCAGTTCACTAGTATTAGGAATATAGATATTTCTACTCACAAGCTATAGTATATCGACTCGACTAATTTAAATAAAAATATTTTTGTTTCGTGTTCTACTTTTAGCAGACACAGAACGACTAATAAAAAATCATGAACAGGACGCTGCACAGGATCAGCACAATTATTTCATTTAGAACAATCAATTGTACTGACTAGCGAATAAATGCATTCATTCAACAAATTCTAGTTAAAAAATAATTTTATAATATTAATTAGTGAATTTTTTTAAAAAAGGAATCGTATGTTAGTTGATAAATTTTTCGTTTTTTTATCTATGTAGCTACGCAGACAATTTTCTATTTATTTAGACTGCTAATAGTTCTAAAAGTTGTGTACAGAGGGCAGTGCAACAAATTTTCAAAAGATTGTCGCTAAGGACACGACACTTTAGGGAGAATTAATTGTTATCAGTATAAACTATAAACTGTATTATAAATTTTATTTTTTTGTATCATCCTCCTGTTTATTTTTTATTTAATGAAGCAATTCCAGTTTTGAAGGAGGCCGTTCCAACGAATAAAATGGTGTCTTTAAATGCCTCATGCTTTAATACGACTGGGTCGCGAGATCTCCAGGGTTTTTTTTGTTAATTGCCCTTGTAGGCAGACGCAGTGGCGGATTTACCCTAAGGCCCGGTAGGCTCGGGCCTAGGGCGGCCAGATTTAAGTATTTAACGTATGGCGGGCGGACTGCACTGCATGATGCAATCTATACTTACCGCATCCTTAAATACTCTTCTGTTTTTTAACGATTTTTTTTCCTACTTTTCTAAATCTATTTAGATAAAAGTGAGCAATAAAGTAATTTCATTATGTAGTCTATAATAATATGGTGGATGCTGAGAAAGGGTCGGCTAATGGCTTGGGGCCTAGGACGGCCGAGACTGCAAATCCGCCACCGAGCATACGGTCCACCTGACGGCGAGTGGTTGCCGTTGCCCATGGACTTCAGCAACTAACTTTCTTTCACTAGCTAAAGCCCACAGATCTACTTGTATAAGTAAAACTACTGCGTTTGAATTGTGAAAAGATTATATTCTCGAAATGCATGTTGTAAGTTGATAATTGACTATTAGTCTTTGATTGCATACCAGGAAGATGATTCACGGAGGTTAACGTCTTCAAGAATGTGCCCAGTCGTGAAGCTGTAAGTCATGTCAAAATGAGCCATATATTGTCGAGTCGAACACATTTAATGGGTTAACACGTAGAATTTCTATGATTCCGAGGCTGCTCTCGTCTAAGAGAATTAAATAATATGATAATTATTATTTATATTTTACATTCATACGGACAACGCTTCTGTGTATTCTCTGATTGAGTGAGGGAAGATGTAGGGTGATACTATTGAAGTTTACATCAATATTTATTTATTGTATTATAAGCTCGAATGGGCAGGTTGCGAATTTTATCTAACACGTTAAACTAATATGCCAAAACGTGGCGGCTTTCTTTAAGCGAATATAAATAGCAATAATGAATTGGTTAAGAAAAGTTGGAAATAAGATAGATCTAGACCCTCTTTTAGGTAAATAAATCGATAATGTAGGAGCAATCTGGCAATAGCACCTCATAAACAGGGTTGTCAGGGCAGTAAAATTAAAGAAAAAATTAAACAGCTCATCGCCAACTTTGGAAGGAATTTTTTTTATTGCCCTCGTAGGTACCAGCACACGGCCCACCTGATGGTGAGTGGTTACCGTCGCCCATGGACTTCAGCAATGCCAGGGGCAGAGCCAAGCCGCTGCATTGTGTTGTCTCGCCACTGAATGCCTTAGCAGCCTATGGATATAGGTATTCAATGACGGTTTGAAGCGATACGTAGCTGTTGTCAAAAGCTACATAAGCTACCAATAATTCCTTAACGCATATTTGGTTTAACTGTTAGTTTGTAACAAGACTGTACTAAATAAATAAACTATTAAAATGGGGTAAATTATAATGGGTGGTAAATTAAAATTGAAATACCCACCAAAATAGCGCTAGCCTAGTATGTGGTGTGATATGGTATGACTTGGATATGGACTGGTGGTAGGACCTCTTGTGAGTCCGCGCGGGTAGGTGCCACCGCCCTGCCTATTTCTGCCGTGAAGCAGTAATGCGTTTCGGTTTGATGGGTGGAGCAGCCGTTGTAACTATACTGAGATCTTAGAACTTATATCTCAAGGTGGGTGGCGCATTTACGTTGTAGATGCCCATGGGCTCCGGTAACCGCTTAACACTAGATGGGCTGTGAGCTCGTCCACCCACTAGTGCAATAACATAAAAAAATTATATTATGAATGTAGCAGCGTAAATGAAGCAAAGTGTGCTAATTACTTTTAAATTTCTTCTCAGGGGGTGGCGTTTCCGATCCGGTGGTAGATTCTGCGAAGCACTGCTCTTGCTAGGGTCAGTGTTAGCAACACTCCGGTTTGAGCCCCGTAAGCTCACCTACTAGTTAAGGTTACGCTGAAATAGCCTCTCAAGGCTATCAGCTTAGGTAGAAAAAAAAACTTTTAAGTATACATTATAAATAGTTTTCTAAAAGTAAAAAAATATTGATTAAGAAGAATTACGTTAAGAAAACCGTGGGGTGATTTTTAAGATATTTTATAATGACGTTACTATTACCAATATCTGTAAATAAAATATTTAAATTAGTTGACATTTAGCACGCGATGGATTTTTACCAAAGATTTTTTTTTTAATCTCTCATTTATTTTTTCGAACTTACAAAATATTATTTTATCCTATTAATTCAGCTAGCTACAAAAGTGGGTTTAACAGTGTCCTAAACTATTATAAAAATCAAAACCGCAAAAGTTGTATTTGGCGTAATGACTACAAAATGAAACAAGGCATAGAACTCAAGATCTCTAACGACGCCGGAGGGGCTGTGAGTACGTTCTCTTGGCTGAACCAATAAAAGGATATAGATATTTAAAATTTCTCTTCATATCTTTTTGGCTATGGAACCCTAAATTTTTTTATATCATAAACTCCTTTCAGAATTTCTTAATTAGACATATTTCGAGCGAAGCATAACTTTGTAGCGTTGTTACAACGTGTTTTATTAATCGCAACGCTCTAACACAGTTATCTTATTAGTCGAGCGACGACACTTCAGCGTATTGCAGTACTGGAGTTCACTGGAGTCTAAATTGAATTTAACATAACTGAGTAGTATTTCAAATTTCTTTTCCTTTTTTTAAGTATGGCAATTGTCTTCTTGAGACTTTTAAAAAACCCGCACTAAGCACACAGGACTGCATGGTTGCACTATGGGCAGGATTTTTTAAATTATAATTTCACTAGCTTGAGCACTTCTGAGTACGATTACAACGTCGATGTTAGAGTTTTGTTTCAAATACAGATAACTTTTCAATTCTCCTATTCGTCCCGATCACGGAATAAACCTTATTTATCTATTCCGTGGTCCCGATAATGGGATCAAGGACAGGCTTGCTTTGCCAACGGCTAAAACATGTAAAAGAGCAAATCCGACAGAAGTTCAATTAATCAATACTATTCCGTAAAAGTATTAATTGTCGAACAGAAAACGTGACAAATTTTTTCGTATATAAATATTTCCTTTCCTCCATTTTCTTAATGTCAAAATTGACAATGTTTTTTTTCGAAATGAAATAGAACAATAAATTAAAAAGTATTATTAAAAAATAAAATAAAAAAAGTAAAAGTCCGCCGAGTTTATTTCGTCGGTTCTTCTCAGGCTACAATTTAAAATTGGTTTTGACATTGATTATCTTTGTCTCAGTGACGTTTTAGTTGCGATGATTCGAATTTGAATTTAAAAAAAACTGATATCAATAGAACGATATTTGAGTACCAAACGGGTAAATTAAAATTGCATTTGTCTCCGTGCATAGTTTTTGTAACGTAATCAGAGAAATACGATCATAGATTATACACTTAATATATTTGAGAAATACGATTATCTTTGTGACCCCACACCCTTTTCAATATCACGAAAAAATCGAAAAAAGATTGGCGGGAAAATTATCAAGTGATGGAAATTCAAATGACAGTGACAGGTTCCAAATTCAAATTTAATGCCATTGATTTTTTTTAAACACAGATTAATGTTATATTAATGGCCAGAATGCGTATAGTCAGAGTAATCTTATGTAATTTTTATAGTTAAGTAGTCACGATATATTTTATAGAAATAATGACAATGAGTAGAGATGCCTGTTATTTCGAAACTGGTAAAAATATTGAATTATCAACTTAATCTTTATTGACTTAGACCTACACCGAACACTCCCTCATAATGGCCACAGATATTGGATAAATATATCTCGTATGCGTGCAGCGTTATAATGCTAGAACAATAATCACTACAATACTAAAACTATTTGTACTGCCTAAGATTGATTTTACACGCAACAAAATGCTCTTGTTATCCGGTGCTTATAGATAATTCCGGTTCATAAATCCGTGTAAACGAATGGACACAGGCCGGCGGCTAGACCGGCTAACTGGCGTTGAAAGCGTCTAGTTTATAGCCAACACTAACAGTCTGATTTGTAGCGCAGTGCGTGGTAGGCTTTATGAGGTATTATTAATGGAACGAAGAGCCTTCTAAATGGCACGAATAAAAGTGAAGTTATAGAGTTAAGTTTTTATTACGAAGGGTAGAAGTAAACCATCTCAGTGTAGTTAAAAGTATCAGCTGAAAGGGACCCAATCAATTCTTATTCTTTTCGTTGTAGATGTCTATGGGCTCCGGTAGCCTCTTACCATCGGGTGGGCCGTGAGCTCGTCTACCCATCTAAGCAATAAAAAAAGTATTCATTTTTTAATGAAGAAAACATAATTAACCTTTTGCACTGTCACGCTGTTATGGCTATTGTCACGCTCTGAGCGTGTCCGAGACTAATTAACATTTTTATTACTAAAATTCCTGTGTCCCGAT